TTTAAAAATGAATTAAAAATTAAACAATAACAGCAACAATATATAAATATGTCACTATTCAATCCAGGGATATACATACCTCAAACTTGTTTTGCGTACAAATTGGACACCAATGTTTTTCAAAGCAGTAATTCAAACATTTAATTAATGTTTCAATTGGTAACTATGTTAACTATTTTACAATGAAATAATTCAGAATTATAAAACTAATTACAGTATAGCATATCAAAATGTTCTATGTGAAAATTACAAAAAAAACCCTTTTTGTACGCAGACATATGGTATTTTAGTTTACAAAATTTTCTCGATGATTTCATAAAAGTTACTTTAATTGGTTATTATGTAAAAACGTAAACGATATTGGGGAAATTGGAATACACAATAACACTTGGGAGCAAAATCGAACTTTTTTTTTACCCCACGAATGAAAGCAAATTTGTCTCATAGAAATAGGGTATTTTTTAAATTTAAAAAAATGTTTTTTGTTTTAAACATTACTATAAACGGCGCCTAATTAATGCACCGATAAAAATAAAATATAAAAAAACATGAAATCAAAAAAAAACCTTGCCATGAAACATTTTTAAAGTACCAAATCTATTACGCAAAGTCGGTTTGGTTCGTGGAGTAAAAATACTTTGCATAGTGCTATATGCGTTTTTTTTTTATTTACCTTTAAAATCCCTTGTTCTTTCTCAGGCAACATCTACAAGAATCGTCGGCGGATGTTGGTTCTTTTTTTGCTTAATTATTATATCCTCTTATACGGCTAATTTGGCTGCATTTTTGACTGTGGAGCGGATGATTTCACCTATAGAAAGTGCTTCGGATTTGGCAGATCAAACCGAAATTTCATATGGTACTTTGGAAGGTGGATCAACAATGACATTTTTCAGGGTAAGTATTATAAATCGAATAAAAAAAAAAATACAATGTAGATTTGGCAGTAAAAAAAATAATAATATCATGCATAAAAAAACGGAACAATAGCTGTTAAGTACTCGAAAACATAAAACCGGTTGAATTATAGTTTTTGTTAGCCAACGGTGGGAACTTATTTTCAGATTGTCCCGATTTTGAATACAGGGTGAGAAAAATTTTATGTCACTATGTAAAAATTGAATCGAACTTGGGAGACAAGTTTTAGAAACGTGAATTCAGTAAAACTTTAACCAACCATTCAATGTTTATATAGCGACATAAAATATAGCGCACCCTGTACATAAAATAATTATTTAAGCTGGGTATCATTTAGTTAATTAACTGTCTGCAGGTTTGGTTGTCGTAACGAAACTATAACCAGTTGTAATCTCCTCTGATGAATGATTTTTAAAAAATGTCTACCTCCTCAGTTTCCCGTACTTGCAGACTGAAGTTATCTACTTTCTACTGCTTAAAATTAAGTTTTTGTATTCAAATCCATTATTTTTGTATTAAGTACTTAAAGTATTTTTTTTAGGATTCTAAAATAGGAATATATCAAAAAATGTGGCGTTATATGGAGAATCGAAAGGCGGCTGTCTTTGTTAAAACGTACGAAGATGGAATTAAGCGTGTAATGGAAGGAAACTATGCATTTTTAATGGAATCTACAATGCTGGATTATGCTGTTCAACGTGACTGCAATTTGACGCAAATAGGAGGCCTCCTCGATTCGAAAGGCTATGGCATTGCGACCCCCAAGGGTTCTCCGTGGAGAGATAAAATTTCACTTGCCATTTTAGAATTGCAAGAGAAAGGCATTATTCAGATATTATATGACAAATGGTGGAAAAATACTGGGGACGTTTGCAACAGAGATGACAAAAGCAAAGAATCAAAGGCTAATGCACTGGGAGTTGAAAATATTGGTATGTTTGTTTAATATTGTTATTCCAAAAAGTGATGATCGAACGACATTTCCCTTTAGGTGGCGTGTTTGTTGTTCTCCTATGTGGTCTTGCACTTGCAGTAGTTGTGGCCATTTTCGAGTTCTGTTGGAACTCAAAAAAAAATGTACATATGGAAAATCAATCGCTTTGTTCAGAAATGGCCGAGGAGCTTCGTTTTGCTATGCACTGCCATGGATCCAAGTCAAAGCATAGACCGCGAAAACGTAATTGTCTGAAATGCTCTCCCCGACCCACATATGTGCCGTGTAATATAAGTACACAAAATGCGGGAGTTCACTATAATTATTTTAACTAAATAATGGACTATCACCTCGGAAAATGGTATAGACGTATATTATATGATACATGTGTATGTTTGTTCATGTGAATAAAAAGAGAAGATATTTTTGTAATACCTTTAAAATTATCCTTGGTAATAAATATATTGATTTATTAACAATGAAAATACTGCATTTTGTATAGCATATGTTATATTTTATCATTAGACCTCGGATTTTGCATATTTGATTCATCAGCATAGTCGTGGGCTCATTATTAATTTTTGTTCAATTGATTTCCTTTGACTATATTTAAAAAGCACTTGGCTGGGGAATCGGAGGATCGGAGGTGCTGCGAGTACGAGTCATCAGAATTTTTCTATCTTAATCCTTTAAAAATATGCAAATATGCAAAATCCGAGGTCTATTTATCATACATTCCAAGTAATTTGCTATCAAAAGTTATAATTTTGTTCCCCCACTTCCTTTTACAGTATAAGAAGTATAAGTATACTTAGTTTAGAACTGAAAAAACTAAAAGCCATTTTTTTCGTTTAATTTTGTATTTTGTTTTTAAACCCGATACTCAAAGACAATGTGAAGCATTCCCAACCCCATAAAGTATAAACATACGATATATTCGTGATCAGCATCGAGCCGCGTCAAAGTAGATATATCTGTCTGTCCGCCCGTCCGACTTATTGAGGGTTAATAAGTACACATCCGAAATACACATTTTTTCAAAAAAGTTAATTTTTAAACAATGCGTCATATGTCCATGATACAAGCCGCGCTCCAGTTGGATGGACCATGGACCATACGATACAACCGACTCAACGTGCGGAATAGTAAAATCCCAAATAGGATGATGGACTAACTAAGAAATTTTCGGACCATCCCAGAAATGGATGGTGAATTGTGGGAATAGGTTATTAATTTTCAGTAGGGACAGCAGGGAATATAAAATCATTTACACGACTTAAATATAACCTTGTTTTCTATGAGCGGGTATTTACTCCAAAATACCTAAAAACATAAACAACCTAAAAATAAAATTAATTCGTTTCCACTTTGTTGACTGGTTTTAAAAAGGGTAAGTTAAAAAAAATGTGTGGAGCATTCATCGTACCATATATTTTTTTATTTTAGTTTCTTTACTATTCAATGTACAGTATATTTTACAATTCTCAAGACATTCTTAAATTAAACATTTAATAATTTGGTTAATTTTAATTTTGAAAACAGCAACCATGCGTAGATAATTCAACATTTTTGAAGGGCAATACGGATTTTATTGCTGACATTCAAAAATATACATCTATGTATTTATTTTGATTGATAAATGTATACTATGCCTTCTATGTATATGTTAAAATTATGTCATTATTGTCACGGAACTCACAATTAAATTTATTGTCAATTTCAATAAAAGCATGTATGTATAATACATGCTTATGTATTTCTTTTATGAGTATAAGTGGTTATGTACAAGCATTTATTTACCATAACAAAACCAAAATATATATATTAATAATATATTATTTATTAATATTTAATTTACAATTTTTGTATTTTGTTACTCTTTACAAGTGACAGTACAAAATATATGTACATACATATGTAAGTACTTTATGGGCCTTTTAATTGAGGGAATATTTTTGTTGTAAAGTGCGATATGTTAATTAAATGTAAACATGTATGTACACACATATATGTATGTATATCTTCCAAAAAACGTTATACCAAACCAAAGTACATATGTACGTAAGTTTGCTCATACATAAGTATTATAATAATATAATAAATGGGTCTGATGTATTATCTTTTTCCCATTATTCATGCTTCTTTTCCTGTCAAGCCTTTTTAATTGTATAATGCTGATTGTAGTGATTTTTTTAGTCAACGCATCCTCTTACATGAATATGTAAATATTGTTTATACGTACGTATAATTTGTCAAAAAAGTTTGTCTACTTTATATATCGTGATATGTTTTCCACAACTAATTAGTAAACTTTTTTTGTATAATCCTCATGTAGGTACTTTGGTGTGAGTCACTAATGTTATAGAATTGTTTTATTTAGCTTTTATTTTGGCTCTCATTTTTATGATTGTAAGCAACTGGATGATAAGCCCTGGACTCTGAATTCATACACTCATAACTATGCTATTTGAGTTTTGATTGTTTTGTTTTGGAAGCATTTGGGTAATTCCAAACGTTGTCTTATTATTGTATACAAGATAGTAAGTATGTACATTTGTTGTATATGCAATATATATGTATGTACATTTTCATAGATATTTCATTTGTACACACATATCAACACTTCATCAGTTAATATGCACGCACATGAATTATATACTATACATACGTATGTACAATACATACATATATGTATATTGATGTAAGAACATAAGAAACCAAGCAAATTTAAATTCGCTCAATTGTTGAAATTCAATGATTTTGCCGCCTTATCTCAAAATGTTTTTAAATTGACTATAATCTGCAAGCTAACTTTGTATGATAAATATTTGAGTATACATCCATATATACTTATGCATATCTAAATATTTCTTTTGATGTAAAGAATTCGATTGAATTTAATATCAATCAGCGCTTTGTCTAGGATTTTGAACTAATGATATTTATGTATACTGATAATACGCTACAATTATACAATTTTTGTATATATTTAAGCATAATGTATTTTTTACTCTCAGTATGTCATGTAAGTTTTCTATATTTTTATAAAGTACAAAAATATAAAATTAAATTTGATTCAAGGAACTTTAATAAAATAACAACAAATACAAGATTGAAATCTTCATGACGAATTAATTACAAATTAAGGCAGAAGACGATTTTCACACTTAAAAGAAAGTTGTTGCCAACTCGTACTGTAAATATTGTGCAGAGTCGATATACATATTTAAGTAAACAAAATCTTGTTAATTACGTAAAGGACCAAATTAAATTTGTTAAAGTATTTTCAGTGTAGTCAATGCCACCGGTTGAAAAAAATGATACTAATAACTGACGTATTCAGAGAATTCGTTTTCGAGTTGTTCAGTTTTTGGTATTTGTTGCGTTAGGAAATTTAACTGACTGTCATTCACTAAATCAGCTAAATAGTTGACATCAATAGGCTTAGAGTGAAATCCGAGTAAATCCAATTGGTTAAAATGGTTTCCACTGGAGTCTATTTGATTTTTTTGTAGTTCTGTTGGTGACTCCTTCAATGGCCATGTCATCAATCCTCTTATAAAACGCTGGAAATGTTCATTGGGTGTTCGCTTAAAATAAATTAAGGAATAGGTGAAACTTATATTGCTGTTGTCATGACTCATTATAAGTCTAAGTCTCATTCTGTATCAAAATATAAATGTTTGAGTACAGCCATAGGCCTGTCTCTAATGTGAATATGTTTATGTGTTATTATACCCGATACTCAAAATGAGTATTGGGGTATATTAGATTTGTGGTAAAAGTGGATGTGTGTAACGTCCAGAAGGAATCGTTTCCGACCCCATAAAGTATATATATTCTTGATCAGTATCAAAAGCCGAGTCGATATAGCCATATCTATCGGTCCGTCTGTCCGTCCGTCCGTCTGTCCGTCTCCTTCAGCGCCTAGTGCTCAAAGACTATAAAAGCTAGGGCAACGATGTTTCGGATCCAGACTTCTGTGATATGTCACTGCTACAAAAATATTTCAAAACTTCGCCCCGCCCACTTCCGCCCCCACAAAGGACGAAAATCCTTGGCATCCACATTTTTAAAGATACAATAAAACCAAAAACGGAGAATCGTAGAAGATGCCTATATCTTCTAGAGTACAAAATCTAAACCAGATCGTATAATTATTATAGCCAGAATCAAGAAAACAATTTCATTCTTTCTCGCTCTGACTCTCTCTTACACGCAGGTTTCATGGTCGGTTTTGCCAATTGCAAAATATGAGTTCAAGGATCTCAGAACCCATAAGAGCTAGAGCAACCAAATTTGGTATCCACACTCCTGTGATATCGGACCTTGACCATTTTATGTCAAAATTTCGCCACATCCCCTTCCACCCCCGCAAAGGACGAAAATCTGGGGCATCCACAAATCTCAGAGACTATTAAGGCTAGAGTAACCAAATTTGGTATCCGCACTCCTGTTAGATCTCACTATAAAACGTATATCTCAGAATTTCGCCCCTCCCCCTTCCGCCCACACAAAGGACGAAAATCTGATGCATCCACAATATTGCATATTCGAGAAAACTAAAAACGCAGAATCATAGATAACGACCGTATCTATCAGATCGCTGAATCTGGATCAGATCAGATAATTTTTATAGCCAAAAGGAACAAATCAATTTTCAGTGGCTACGCAGCGCCCTACGTCACGCTCAGACTGATTTTCTGTCTCTCTCGCACGCACTCTTTGTCGTTTTGTTTAATATTAGCGGCGTCTGCCGGAGGAGAGCCATACTGACTTAGTATCTGGTATAACTGTAGAGTTTCGGTGTCCGCATCAACTCACAACGTTCCCCCTCGTTTTTATATTGTGGACGAGGAGTTTAATGATCAAGGTGTAGGCAATTGATAACTTTTTATAAAAGGCAATAGAAATAATTTATTTTATTTATTTATTTACCTCTTTCAGCAAGGACCGATTTCTTTCTCTGAAGTGGGATGGTCGAATAGGGTAGGTCCTTGGAATTCCAATAACAGAATGATCTCTATCTGGTAAATCACTTGAAAATAACTCAGTAGCAGGAATTTGGATGCGGGATCCGCGGCCTGATTGAGCTGTAGCGTAATTTCCAGAGAACATACTTTCAGCTTCTTTATGGGCTTGTCTACCGTTACCATTGTAAAGAGCAAAGTTAGAATTACCAATACGACGTGTGGTGGCTCGAACGCGATTCCTATGTTCGTTTTTATTATTTTTGTTATTTTCAAGGTTTTGCCCGCTTAGAATTGACATGCGATTATTGTCGCTATATTGATAGCTGCCACCTTCTGGACTTCGATTTTCATCCATTAGAATAGAATCAGACGGACTGATGGGTTGGGGCCTGTATGACGATTGAATGCTATAAAAACAAATAATTGGAATTACAAATATTACATTAGTTGCAAAAGTTCGATTCACCACTAAGAGTTAGTTCTTACTTTTGACCGTTAGCAATTTCTTTAAGCGCGGCTGCTCGTGCCGCTAACTCCTCATCTCGGCGTTGCTGCGTTAACTCCTTAGCGCGTTCCGTCCATATGAGCTCTTTAAGTTTCTGAAAGCTGCCCTGTACAGCAACCGAGTTTTGGTTTCCGGTCAAACTAGCTCCCGTTCCATTGGGAACTCCCATGTATCGATTTTTACTTGACCTACGTGTGCCTGCATTTTGCGGACGCCCTTCAGACCCATAGAAACGAGCTTGGATTGGGCCGCCATTGCCACTTGATCCGAGATCTACAAATCGCTGACGCTGCTCAAAGGTCATGCGTTGCGGCGTAATTGGTTCTCGGCTCACAACACGACCAAACACAGGGGAACGGGCTCGTTCTCTTGCGCTCATCCTAATTCTAATTTTTGACAAAAAAAAAACAAAAAAAGGTTATCTGAACAAATCATCTTGGAAAAGTGAAGAATTAAATTTTTCAGTATTTAATTTAATATTTCTAATTTAACTAAAAGAAAACAGGGCACCAATTGAGAGTCTTGTATTTGCTGAAATATATGTAAATTTTCGAGTTGTTTGAAAATTAAGGTAATTACTTACGATCCCAGAACTCGTGAGTTAGAATAAAGGGGATCCCAAACATTATACGTAAAGGGGTCACGATATGTTGGTATTTCATTTGTTATTTCAGCAGCTCGAGATTGCCTTTTTGAAAATCTGTTTTATGTAAGTGAAAGGTTAATTTCGACTTTCTGAGGATGAAAACATGTAATTTAACTTACATCCACATAGCACGAAGCTGTTCGCATGTTGGCTCTTGTGCGCTAAGAGAAAATGTTTTTGGTACAAACACTTCCCCGACCGCCCTCACTCCGCCGGAATTCACTACGGTTGACGAGTCTTCACTTTTAACGCCGTTATTATTATTCGCATTTCTTTGCGAAGGATATTCGCGACCACGCGTGCCTATGTAGTTTCCATTTCCTTGTTTTAGGCTTATCAAGATCACCAGTACATCTATTTGTATAAACTTCATCTGCAAGGATTTAATTTATAGATTTAGTTCAACTTTTTAGTTTTATCGACCATTTGGTCAATTGGCACAAATAGTTAACGTTTAGTTATTAGGACATCTGCACTTCATCTGCAAGGATTTAATTTATAGATTTAGTTCAACTTTTTAGTTTTATCGACCATTTGGTCAATTGGCACAAATAGTTAACGTTTAGTTATAAGGACATAGAAAGGTGCATATATAGAATGTTCTTGAAGTTAGAGCCCTTTTGGTTTTTTGCGATCTGTTTAAACTGTTTTGTTTGTTGGATAAAGTTCAGTATCATCTTTTTTTAAACCCGATACTCAAAGAGTATAAGTATGTACATATGTATAAGGGGGAAGTGGATGTGCCGCCGAGATCTCAGAGACTATAAGAGCTAAGCTAACAAAATGTTGAGTATTTTAAAATTTCGTCCCGCCCCCACGAAGGAAGAAAACACAATGTTCGGGCCAGCCGCCAAATAATAACCGTAACTTTAAGCATTATTATTGTATGAGCAGAGAGAGCCGCCTATGTTGTAAAACGTTGACTTTCTGCAGAGCTGCTGCGTTCTCCCGCTAAAGGGGCTCTCTGCCGCCGCCACTTCGGCAATTACTTTGATCTGCTGCCGCCACTTCGGCAATCACTTTGATCTAACGCCGTCGTCTATAGTTTAGTTCTATTCTAACCCCTCTGCGCATTGGTTGCATATCGATCTCGCCTAAATTCTATCTGGCCATAGCAAACAATCGGTTTCCGATATGCCACCAAAATTAACAACGAATTATAAAGATTAAACCAAATTCTGTTTTCATTTTTGAAACACATAGGTGCCAAAAAAGCTTGGCATCTCAAACATTGGTGACCCCCCGACGTGATATAAAACCATGGCTTAATCGCATTCCGTTAAAAACACTTATTAATTATACAATATTTTGTTGTTGGGTAGTTTAACTACCAACAAATACATTTGGGTGCACGTTGAAAAACAGTTTAAAGTGCAAATTCAGTGAGAGTGCGGCTGGAATATATATATACAAATTTAAGCGTACTTTAAGCGTCGAATCTCTCATTCTCTGCGCTGCTGCAGCCGCGGTTCTTGACTTTTCGCGGTTTCGTCTTGCATTTTCCCTAGCGCGTCTATACATCGTCGCTTAAGCGGTATTTCATTTTCCGTTGTTCTGTCGAATTGCACAACGGTTTACATGGACAACGATCCGAATACAGGCGCGGGCGGAAATATTGTGGTGGCTGATTCCAGACTGAGTCTGTATAAGCGTAAAAGTCAGTCATTATATGATCGATTGCACAGGCTTGGCGGATCCATCGCGGGGAATAAAATCGATAAGTTGACCGCCGCGGGAGTCGAGGTGCGCCTTGAAATGTTGAAATCGGTGATTGAAGCGGATGCGGATCTCAGTGACATCGAGAAATTCCAGCACCTTCGCTCTTGCTTCGCTGATGCGGCTTTGGATTCGGTTCGATCGTTGGAGCTCTCCAGTGCCAATTATCGGGCGGCTCTGGATATACTTAATAAACGCTTTAATAACAAAGGACTTGTTTTCCAGGCACACATCAAGAAGGTTCTTGGGCTAAAGAGGGTAGACTCGCCTTCTGCTAAAAGGCTTCGGGAGTTTTCGGATGCAGTCAATTTACGAGATTTCAGGATTCATGGTCATCAACATGCTGCTGCAAAAGTTGGGTTCGAAGACGCAAACCAAATGGGAGGAGCACACATCGTCGGATGCTATACCTACCGCAGAGGAATTCTTCGAATTCTTGCAGCAACGCTGCCAGAAAATGGAGCGATTGGAATATGCTACAGCGACACATACTAGTAGCGATCAGGTGGGAAAAACCATTCCTATACGCACGTTAAGAAAACGTTTGTAGCTTCCAACTCTTCCGCCGACCCGTCTGTATACGTCTTTTGCCATGCGGGCGGGCCATGGAATATACTCGTGTAAGATATTCGGAAATGTCTCACCGTTGCTGCGCCACAAAGAAGTGAAGAAGCTTTCCCTATGCTTCAATTGCCTAAAACCGGGGCACCGGACCCGCGTATGCAATAGTGGAAAATGTCGAGTATGCGGCGGTAGGCATCATAGTTTGTTGCACTTCGATAGTATACAGCCCACAACACAAAGCTGCCCAGGTATTACTCCTCCCGATCTGGCCGTTCAACCGGACACTCTTTCCGTTACTCAAAATTCTGCTAGCAGCTCGCCTCTAACTTCGTCTATCTCTCTTGCTGCCCAAGGTTTTCACTCTGATGTCGTGCTTCTGGCTACAGACGTGGTTCTCGTGAAGAATCGGTCTGGCGTTTTAGTTCCTTGTCGTGCCATCTTAGATTCAGGATCGCAGCTGCATTTCGTCACATCCAGGTTCGCCCAGCAGCTACAGCTTAGGAGAACTCAATCGTTTGCACTTGTGTCTGGGCTGGGCGATACCAGCGTTTCTACTGAGGGATCCACCATAAGCATTTGTATGCATTCTCGCACCTCTGCTTACACAACTACGCTTACTGCTCTCATCGCCCCCACGATTACCGATTCTCAACCAAGAATGACAGTAAATGTATCCGATTGGAGTATTCCATCTAACATTCAGCTTGCTGATCCTGCATTTTTCAATCCTCAACGGGTTACCAACCTCATTGGTGCGAGCGTTTTTTATGATCTGCTCTGCGTAGGGAAAATCAAACTCACCGATGGCCTGCCTCTTCTGCAGAAGAGGCTTGGGTGGATCGTATCCGGCGGTGGACAGAAGGTATCAAGCTCGGCGCTTTTGGCCACGCCCAATTGTCCAGATTCGATAGCTGAGATGGAAGCAAGGTTGGATAAAACTCTTCGTATGTTTTGGAAAGTCGAGAATTATGTGGAGGCTGGGTTGAATACCAAAGAAGAAGACGATTGTGAAGCACATTTCGTAAGCCACCTTTCACGGTTGCCATCCGGGGAGTATGCAGTTCGCCTGCCACTACACTCAAGGAGCGGTATTCCGCCTTTGCAAATATTTCTTGCCTCATCACTGTGTCCTAAAGGAGGACAGTACGACGACAAAACTCCGTGTCGTTTTCGATGGATCCGCAGCTACATCAACTGGATATTCTCTAAATGATGTGATGATGACGGGCCCTGTTATTCAGCCTGCATTGTTTAACATATTGATTCGCTTTCGAACATATCCAGTCGCTCTCACCGGGGACATTTGTAAAATGTACCGCTGCGTACGAGTGTCTCCACCCGGCAATTTGTATCAGTGCATCCTATGTCGAGATTCCATCGAGTCCGAGGTTCAAGTCTACACATTAGACACCGTCACATACGGGACGAGGGCTGCATCATTTTTAGCGGTCCGCGCAATGCACCAGCTGGCCATCGACGAGGGTGAGTCCTACCCTCTTGGCTCAGCTGCTCTGCGGCAGTCGGGCGGCAATTCGGTCGCACAGGTCATGGACAAGATGCACCAAACATCAGCTTTACTGTCCCGTGGTAATTTTAGTCTTAGGAAATGGTGCTCCAGTCACCAGGAAGTACTTGAGGGAACCCCTGAAGATGACATAGAGAAGTTCCTAAAGTTTAATGATGGAAGCGACATAGCCAAAACTCTCGGCTTAGCGTGGGACCCTGCTTCGGATCAGTTGCTTTTTGCCTTGTCCGCACTGGACACAAACTCAAAGCCATCAAAGCGGTCGGTTTTATCTACGATTGCTCGGTTCTACGACCATCTTGGATTGATAAATCCAGTCATTGTCAGGTGCAAAATCTTCCTTCAGTAGCTTTGGAGAGAAAATTTGGATTGGGATGAAAGCCTACCCTCAGCGTTGCATTCAACTTGGATGGACTTGAGATATAGTTTGGCAAGCATTTCTCGGATCTCATTTCCTCGCTTGGTTCTTCGTTCTAGTGTGGCTACAGAAGCTCACGGATTCTGTGATGCCAGCTTAGAAGCATATGGCGCTTGCGTGTATGTCGTGTCCAGGGAAGCCCAGTCTTCGAGCCACGTTTTGTGCTCAAAGTCGCGAGTGGCGCCGCTAAAGACTATATCGATTCCTAAGCTGGAATTAAGTGGAGCCCATTTACTTGCGAAAGTCATGCAGAATGTAAAGGACATGGGAATCTTTACAGGTCGGTTCTATTGCTGGTCGGATTCGTCAAAAGCATTATCTTGTATTAGGGACGAGCCAGCCAAACTTCAAGTTTTCGTGGCAAATCGAGTGGCATCAATTCAGGAGGAGTTGACGGCAGCCATGGAATGGCGCTATGTTCCCACATCTTTAAATCCTGCTGATATTTTCTCGAGAGGCTCGCTTCCCAGCCATCTTATCCAGTCAGAGCTATGGTTCCACGGCCCATCCTTTTTGCTAGGCTCCAAGGATAAGTGGCCTGTATCTCCTGCTAACGACATAGCAACTTTGGAGCTTCACAAGAGAGTATTGCTTATCACGTCACCACATGCCGATCTCACGTCCGGATGCAAATTTGCGAATTCATTCTTTCGCATGCAGCGCACATTCGCCTACATGCATAAATTTATACATCGTCTTAGGCATCCAGGACTCACCGTTGCTGATATTCGGCAAGGAACGCATCTTCTAATTCGACACATTCAGCTGACAAATTTGTGGATGGACATAAAGGAGATTCGGCGCAATGGTCAAGTCATGAAATCCAATTCGATTAGTTCGCTCAACCCGTTCATCGATAATTCTGGACTACTTAGAGTTGGCGGTCGTCTTGGCAACTCATCGCTAGAATTTGACGCTCAGCACCCGCGCATTCTGCCAAAGGGACATTTCATTACATTTGCGCTGATAAGATATTATCACGAAAGAAACCTCCATGCCGGACCTCGCGCCTTGCTATCCAAAATTAGGCTGGAATATTGGCCAATTGGAGGTATTAAAGCAGTGTCAAGGGTCGTCAGCAAGTGTGTGAGATGCTTCAGGACTAGGCCGCGCATGGTTGAACACAACATGGGAGACCTACCTAAGCAACGTTTGGAAGGAACTCGAGCATTTGAAGTCACTGATTACTGAGGACCTTTTTTCTACCGATCAGATCACTTCGGCAATCACTTTGATCTGGGGCCGTTGTCTATTTTAGTTCTATGCTAACCCCTCTGCGCATTGGTTGCATATCGATCTCGGCTAAATTCTATCTGGCCATAGCAAACAATCGGTTTCCGCTAAGCCACCAAAATGACATACGTATTATAAAGATTAAACCAAATTCTCTTTTCATTTTTGAAACACATAGGTGCCAAAAAAGCTTGGCATCTCAAACACACAATTTTACAGATTTTAAGAAAACAGAGAACGCAGAACCTTTAAAAATTACCATATATAATCTTCATTGCCGAATCTTATTTAGACCGGATGATTATTATATTATTATATTTTAAGGAACGAATGAAATTGCAATCGAAGTGCAAGAAATAATTTTACAACAGCTAGCGGTCGTGGTTCCTCTCTTTTTCTCGCGAAGAGGTCACCCCTCCCCATATTAACCACGTAAGTATATACTGACTGGGTATAAATGTAGACGCTCGTGCCGCGGCTCCCAACGTTCCCTGTTATTCCCTGTTCCCTTGTTATACATGATTTTCGATATGGCGGGAAAATTGATTTGTGTAAGGTCTATGAGAAAGCGTTTCACCCATTAGGGTGAATATATATTCTTGATCAACTTCAATAGCCGAGTTGATTGAGCCATGTCTGTCTTTCTGTGTGTCTGTCCCTATGAGCGCCAAGTTCTTAGAGACTATAAGAGCTAGAGCAACGACATTTTCTTTGATATCTCACTATTAGAAATGTATTTCCAAACTTCGCACCACCCCCACAAATAACGAAAATCTGTAGAAAATCAAAAACACAGAATTATAGAGAATAACTATATCCTCTAGACTGCAGAATCTCAATCAGATCGTATCATTATTAAAGCCAGAATGAAGAAAGCGCCCCCACTAAGGACGAAAATCTGTGTCATCCACAATTTTGAACATAGGAAAAAATAAAAACGCAAAATCATAGAAAATTACCAGATCTAATATAATATACCTTTATACCCATTTCGAGTTTCGACTATACAAAATAGGAAAGGTTTCTATATTTCATTATTGGAAAATAAGCACTGAATATTTTATACAAAATGTTATACAAATAGTCAAAATTTGCACAATTTGTATTTGTATTTTGTCTTATATCTTTAAAGCCGTTCCCAGTGAACTGACTTTTTTACTACTTTTTTTTTTACATTTTGTCGTACGAATTCAACTTAACGCCAGAATGGAAATATCCATACGCGGATACCAGGACTTTCAAACCTTATGAGCCTACTCTAGACGGTTTCATACCGTGCTCCTTCTGGATTACTAACAGATTACTAACTAACCGCTAACTAACTAACATGACAAGAAAGCTTCGATATACACATATGTACATATGTAACTTCGACATATAATATTATGCTTCCATACATACATTTTTTATAACTTACATATCTCCCCGATATGTAAAAAAGTTTTGGCAGAAATTAAATGTCTGATCGCCAAATAGTTTCTGCTCAATTGCGATTCATCGGAGGCATCGGAGGCCCCTAAGTATGTATCTATATAAGCTATTTTACCTTTTATAACACACATAATAAACAATTGTATACGCACCAAAATCCGGTAACAATGCATCTTAGTAATGTCTTTTTTAGAATCCCGAAAAGATTATATCAAAAGAAAACTGACTCCGTTTTTCATCGGATTGATATGTATTCAAATATTTAGTTGTATCTATTGAATTAGAGAAAAATTGTAATTAAATTCAAAAGAAGAAATCCATTTTTTTTTGTGTTAATAAAGCATGCAAAAAGCTTGATAATAATTTTTGTAGAGTTAGCATATGCATGTACATAAACAAAATCAAAATGCCGTATCCGGCATATGCCGTTGACTTTCTAAATTTAAGATAATTTTATATTGTGCCATTTTGTGTCAACTTATCCTGATAGTAATTATTTCGTATATGGCAGTCGTACCAAGACAAAAAAAGGTAAAAAGTACGTACGTATGTAAATACTTCCCGTTAGTAATAACATAAAAAACCAGGGGATCAAACCATGGTTTTTTTTTGTACACCGAAGACTTTACAAAATTGTGCTTTATATTTTGTATATTTACATATGTATGTATATTTTAACTTTAATGCAACAGTTTTCAACATATCCGCAAGGAATTCAATTACTTGAGATTTTCTGTACTGTAAAAACTCTTCATAGGGGAATGAAAAATTCTAACAAAATTACTCGACCTTAGTTTAATATTAAATACCATTATTTACTGTTTTAGTGCATGTTTTAGTAAACGCAGATATTGATGAAAAAAAACCTGTTAATATTTTGTAGTATTTTGAGGTTATAAAGCTATTGAATCCGATTCTTTAAGATGTACACATATGTACATCATATTCTTTTTGGATATGAAGATTCTTTTCTGTCAGGGCACTACTTTAGTAAAAATTAAAAAAAAAATGTTTATGCCTTTACGTATGTATGTACGTACAATGTACCTACATACATAGTCATTAATAAATATATATAGGCCGTTTTTATCAGTTACTTTTAGACGGGTTTTACGCAAGGATAATTATACAATTATACCTGTTTCACATTGGATTAGATCACAATGTGAAATATCATACGATGAGAAGGTGATACATATCTATAAAGAAACTAACTAAGAGAAGCTCTCTCCTCTACCCCACATCAGACGAACATATTCATCTGTGATCAAAATTTTTCTTAGATTTCTTTTAAAATGTATGCAATATTTTGAATAAATCTAAAAAAAAACAAATTACAAAAATGTACAATCAGTACGTAGTGAGCCAGTACAGTAGTGAGCATTACATATTTTGATTGTGCGTTTAATAGTGCAAGTGCGGTGTTGGTCGAAAAAACAGTGCATATAGCTTGAAAATGTGCAAATGTCCGCTTTATAATTTTAATTACTTTTTCCGGTATTTATGGGATTTTCCAATTTTACAATTCCTCATAAAAACGAAGTTGCATTTCTCCACCCACTGTCCCATTCCATCTATAATGAAGCGTAAATATTTTGGATGGCATTGTTTACGAGAATTCCAAGTTTCAGAACCGTGTTTCTCCATCCCCAAACTAAAAAAGTATGTAATTGTTATCATCCTGTTGTAAGAAACCCGAAAATCATTGAAAAAGATGTAAATACAATTAAAGTAAATATTACATTCAGTACAACAATATGTTTAAAGGTTAATGGATTACGAAACTACTATATAACTTTTCGGTTTGTATAGTAAATCAGTTGGAATCGGCAGGAAGGGAAGGAACCATTATACCAACCAGGACCAACATCTATATGAAGATGTTATAGGAATGAACGCTCAATTAGATAATTTTATTACACTATTACATTTTTGTGAATATATGGTTTTAAATAACTCACAATATTTTCTGTTGGTGGGAAAAGACAGCAAATGGATATATATTTCGATATTTAGAAGTGTCTACTTCAGACCTTTTCAACCATTTTATATATTTATCATATTGTTTTTAAAATACGCTTTAAATGTATCTGCTGTCTTAATTGTTAATTTAAATTTTGATTAAAAGTAATATGTTTATTGGTGGCAGCAGGGAACGGGACTGCGACTGGGCGAGGAAGTTCCAGGGTGTATAATATTCGGCGCGCCGAATCTATCTTTATTACTGGTTCATATGGTATTTACTTTAGTTGTAAGATAGTAAATGCATGCTTAGCAGCAACAGTGGAGTCAATTATCCTAATTAATGAACACACCATATAGGAACATTCCTTCGAAAAAATTGGCTATGTTGAAAAAATTTACTTCAGAAGTAAATAAGTTTTTTCTCCACCAATAATTAACGATATTGTTATTGGATTCGATATTGGCGGACTACTGATTTTTTTTGTTCCGTCACCTTTTGTATTTCATTACGGAAGTTCGTTACTATATCAACTCGGATTCAGTTCGAGATTCTCGGTTCTTTAAACGGATTGAACTCCTCTCTCCTCTGCTTTGCAAAAAGTTATTCAAAATATATTTAACCTCTTAATTCATACAGTTAATAATTAAAGGATATCATACAAAATGGCTACTGGTAAAGTCAGTAAATGGCTATTTATGTATATACATTTATTTTTAATTTATATTTATAACTTAACCTTTTAAAACACTTTAAAAATTGTTTCAAGTTGTCTTGTCTCTTAAGTTATCTTGTAACAAAGGTAGACACATTGTAGACATAGTGAAATAAATACTCTCGCTAGATCAGGTAAATATAATCTATTTGAAGTATTATGTGTATCTAAATGGGTGTTTGGGTATTTGTTTAATTTTATGAATGGAATTTATAGAAAATCTTGATATGTAATACACTATGTATATACACTTATGTGAAAGAATATATTTGATATGTATGGATACACATTTGAACCTATGTATTAAAAGCATGCGCGAAAGCCATCTACTAGCTGGATACATACTAGAAATATATGTATACAGATATTTAAAGTAATCTGATTAAACTCATATTCACATATGTAAGCAAATTTCACTTTATTTAAATATTCTTCACAATTTTTTTCTATAAACTCGTTTCCCAATGCAAATATGCTGAAATATACCTGCAATAAATATTTGTTGGTCTACGACTTTTCCGACGTTCTAAACTGAACTAAATTAAGGTGGTCTAGAGATGAATCGAAGGAAGCTTCCACACAGACTGTGTTAGGCTATCGGCTTTTACTTTTCCTTGTCTTTGAATTTCGTTCTAAAAAGCTCTCAGCGATGCTATCGGATAGCAAACGACCTTCACTGGTCCAACGATTTAATCCGACCTAACGGCCTACAGAAATATGCCATATTAATTTAATAACTACTACCCAACCAGCTCTTTTTACTTTAATTAAATTAATTAAAAACTGGATGATTATTTGAAATATAGATACATGTAGGATCCTTTATGTAAGGCAATAATTACAGATACTATCAGTTCCCTATATTTAGTTTGTGTTATCAAAGGGTTTAAAATTGGGAAGAACCGACCGCTATAGTATATATGTATGTATGTAGCTGCCAAAGAAACGATCGGTCAAAAAACAAGTATTCTTTCATGAATGTTTCCTGGCAAAAATTTGAAACTAACGGGATATATTGTGCTACATTTACATACGTATGTACCTCGTCCGAATGGTCAGCATCAGAAAATATCTATCTTTAATACTATTAAAATCCAGACCAGCGAACTTAATTCTACAGTTTGAAAACAACATGCTGCGAAAATGTTAGACTTTATCAAAATTATTTTATTTAAAGTTTTGTACCACAGGGCAGCCATCTAGGCCCCTTATTCTTCACAGTCTTTATTAATGACTTGCCTTCAGTATTAACATACTCTCGAGTACTTATGTATGCGGATGATGTTAAACTCTGTGTCCAGTACAAGGACATTTCATTTCATTCTCGCTTGCAATCCGATCTCAATAGCTTTCAGTCATGGTGTTGTGCAAACTTGTTACACCTTAATGCCTCGAAATGCAAAGTTATGACATTTCATCGTTCTAGCCCTTTGTTGGCTCCCTACACCCTATTTGGTGGTTCTCTTGAGAGAATTACCCTGGTGGATGATCTGGGTGTTATGTCAGACCCCAAGTTAAAGTTTTCCGAACACATTTCTACCATGGTAAATAAGGCCATGGGCGTGCTTGGGTTTATAAAGAGGTGGTCAAAGGAATTTGACGACCCCTATATAAAAAAGATTCTCTATACCTCGCTTGTTCGTCCGATCTTAGAATACGGCTCCTGTGTATGGTGCCCTCAGTACAAAGTACACCAGGACCGTATAGAATCAGTACAGAACAAATTTGTACTCTTTGCTCTGCGGGGCCTTAACTGGGATGCGGGTGTAAGACTCCCATCTTACTCTAGTAGACTACTATTAGTAAACCTCCCATCCTTAGTTAACCATAGAAAAATGCTTGGTGTGATATTTATGCACAACTTGATAAGGGGTGACATAGACAGCCCTGATCTGCCAAAGCCGCATAAACTTCACGATTCCTATTAGACTGACTGGAAATTTTTTACCGTTGTTCCTTCCACTTTGTAGATCGAATTATTCCTTGCATGAACCGTTTAGGGTCTTATGCTCGGATTATAATTCCCTCTACCATATTATATCCAACACTAATTCTCTTCCTCTTATTAAATTACTAATCCTTACACACCTTTCTAGTAATTAGTAATTATAGTGGTATTTGTATTTTGATTGCATGCTTAGTTTCTTAGTAAGTTTAGTGCTAATTTTCCTCGAATGTTAGTCTAATAGCTATTTTTCTTGCATGTTCGCGTTCGGTTCGGCTACGTAATGCGCGTCATGCGGCAGCGCCCCTCGGTCGGTTGGGCGGGAGGAGGGCTGCGTTTTGCCTGGGATCCGCGCGTAACACCCTTCTACTGGTTTCACACGGGCCACTTGACGGTGCAGTAACTGCATCGCCTCTTGAAAGATGCAGTCATTGCATGTCAACGTCCAAGAATAAATATACAGACCGCATTCTGTTTGACTTCTGTTTGGATGACATCACACACAAAGCCAGCGAATTCTGCAAGATGACAGTGTTTTCTTTGACAGCACCTACTATGTCTCCCCCGACTGCAAGTCCTGCGAGTGCCCCAGCAGTGCCATGTGTGAACAGAGCACAGAAGAGCGCATGTGTCCTCTGAAAGTTCTAGGGAATCTATGTCAGTATTGGACCATTAGATGTACGGCTCGTTCCACCACTTCTTTCTGCTTTGACAAGATCTCGCGCTGCGACAGTGCATATCTGCACTAACAAATGTTTTCCAAGTAAACAAAGTTAATGAATAGCTGTATACCAATTATTTTATTGGCAAATGAATGTGCCGTGGTATCAGCAGCAGAAGACGACCGATAAAGAAAAACAAAAATAGAATGAATATATCCTACGTGGGGTTGGTGGCTCTTACTGTACAATTTTTTAAATATTCATGTTAATTTTTAAGATTAATAAATTGTAATTTCCATATAATCGTCCTCATTTTATTAACTTAAATATATTCTCTTTATCCTCATTATTATATTTTTGCCTCCTGTTCCGCTGCGGAATTTAGATTATTTACATATTTCGCTCGTGCCACTAACAATACAGTATATAAATACAATATCAGTTCATAAAAAGAAAATATACCAAAAGGCTGTGCCCTGAGCTGGCCAAACCAGCCATTTGTGTGTGTTCATATAACAGACATATATTTTCACAAAAATATTTGATCGAAACCTCAGGATTTTATTATTTAATATATATATTCGGTTTTCACTTACTTTTGCGTATTTAGCCAAAACGTTTCGTTTTTGTATTTAGTTGCTCCCTTTTTCATACATTTTTTTCATCGATATGTTTAATTTTATCATTGCTTCTGGCAAACAAAAACAAATGAGCTGGTTGTTTTGATAAAATACAAAAAAAATTAAAATATTAAATTGCTAATGGTCAATTAATTTTTTGCACTCACATTTTGAATGAATTGTGGCGGGAAACAGCTGTATTTTTCAAATGTTCTGTTACGCGCATGTTTTAAGCACAATCTGAGCTATTAAGTGCAAATTTTTGCTGTTATGCGGAAAAATGCAGCAAAAATCAGGCTGCGTCATCTGTTAGCACGAAAAAGCAAAGTTATCGCCCTGAGCAATTATTTCAAAGCCGAATTTGAGATTGGGTTGAAAAACTATTCATAAGGAAAATTGCCCTGAAATGGTTTCAAATTTAAGTTGTCAATCTTTTTGTTTTGTTTTGTTGTATTAAAAGTAGTTTACTTTTCATTTCGGCGAGGAAAATGTTTTCGTTTTGAAAACGTAGAAATCTTGCGGATCTTGAAAACGTGAGCACCAATTTATGTGATTTCTAAAGTTAATCGGCAAACATAAATGTGTGCATCTATCTACATATGATATGTATATATACATATACTGTATGCTCGTGCCACTAACCATACTGTATGGTTAGTGTTCGTGCCCATAAAAATACCATAGGCTGCCTTTTTAGTATTAATCGGTATTTAATTTTTCTGATCTGAGTAGTAACTCAGCAAACAAAGCGCAGCTAAAAAATTTCATCGGAAATTTTCTTATCGTTTCCATACGAATATCATCATGATTCTGTCGACGAAAAACTTAGTTCATCTGACGTCTTAAATCTTTAACAGGCTTTAAACTTAATTAGAAGCAAAAGCTTGTGCTAAAGCTCTCGTTTTTCAATTGCGGCATTTATGTCTCGTCGGGTTGTATGTATGTAAATACATTCATATGTACATATTTACATATGCACAAAAACAGTAACAGTGTAACAGATACGCTCCAGCATTATTTTAAGATTAAGATACTCGAAAAAAAATAATCGGCAGTTGAACTACTAATATTGATTTTTCAATTCTGTTGTGTGTGGTGAGTTAATTTTTGTTTTATTTATGTATGAACAAAATATTTTTGTGTGCTGCAGCTAATATATCAACAACAGGAAAGAATGTGTAGTTAATTATTGGAATAGACCAATCTGCTTATCCATTATTTAAATTATCTTTATTGAAATCGGAATAACTATCACAAAATGTGTATCTGGTATCTCATGGATACCAACGCAAAGACATTCGTTTTTGCTGTGATAGTATTTATATACATATGTTTACAAATGTGTATGCATTTTTATGCATAAATAATGTATATATGTATGTAAATATATATATATATATCTGACATAGACATAAATAAGAAATTTGTATATGCAAAGTTAATATGTGCTTATATCCATTTGTGCAATAGATAACTTCAATTTCAATTAATGTGCACAACTTACATACATATATATGTACATGTTAATCACTTTTCAGTTTATCAATTTTATCAAATTTACTAAACTTAAGCTCACAATGCAGAGCTTAATGCAACATCTGACTTTATAAAAATATCTATGCAATTTTTCTAGTCAAAGTATGCACTATAAAAATGTATCATTCAAACAAGATTTTGTTTCTATGAAATTTGTAGAATTTATTCCAGACAGCCGAGTCTGGCCCAATGTGCAAGTGGACGGCACGAAGAGCTCTGTACAGGATCGGCCTGACAGAGCTGGCCCATTCCTTCAAATTAATGGAATAAGGAAGTAAGAAGATTTTGGAGAACAATCTGCCAAATTTGATATACAAATGTGCTTGCCGAATTCAAGAGATCACTTTCCAGCAAGGCGGTCCCCCTAGGCACAAGGCTAAAACCGTGAAAAATTCGCTCAATAATCATAGCTTTCACTTAATGCAGTGGCCGGCTCAAAGCCCAGATCATAATCCAATTGAAAATCTATGAGCTCTGCTTAAAAACGGTTGGGAAGTACGAGTCTGCACCAAAGGGATTGGATGAGCTTTAGGACCGCGTGCACATTGAGCAAAATTACAAAAAAATATAAAAGATAAAAATTTCAAACGAGCAAAATATATATATTTTGACTATTTTTTAGAAAATACTTTAAAAACTCTTAAGTATAAATCTTGTTTTATTTTAATTTTACTTAATTATTTTTATAGAATTTAAGAATATATAAAAAAAGCACAAGGATTGATACATTTTAAAAGATTTTACGATCTTTTACACTGAGAAGTCATGCATGCTCGCCACTGTATAAATATTAATCCTGTTAATGGTCCTTATGATAACTGTGTGTTTACTGTTTCAGAAAAAAGTTTTGATTTAGGCTATCTATAAAAACTTCTATCGTCATGCCTTTGCACAACGTATTTGAATGCATATACATAGGAGTGGTATTGTGTGCAGTATTTGCTTCTTTCGTTACCACGGGACTTGTGACTTCAAATGAAAACGAGGATGAATATCTAACACAACGAGGTTTGTATAATATTTACTATAGGTAATAAAATGTAAATAGTATATGCACGGGGACCATTGTGTCGTTTAGATTGCATAAATTTAAAGTTAGAGTGTTAAAAGTAACCCACTTTTTGATTTGATTGTATTTATATGTATACGATCTATAAGAAATTATACGATCCGACCAAGCCCGCTCCTATCGCCCATATAATTTGTTGCGCTTACTAGTTTTTTTATAGTGAATATTCATATATTTATCTTCTATTTATGCTGATTACCTTAAATATTTCATATTTTTGCCGAATCTTGGCAAGCTCTTTTCGATTTAAGTGTCAGAGATAATTATTTTTTACTTATTTTCGCTTTTTTTCTTGGACGTTGACATGCAATGACTGCATCTTTCAAGGGGCGATGCAGTTACTGCACCGTCAAGTGGCCCAGCAGAAGGCTCCTCCCGCCCAACCGACCGAGGGGCGCTGCCGCATGACGCGCGTTCTTGAGTTCAATATATGTCTTCAGGCGCTTAAATGTCAAGCTCGAAACAGTAAAAGCATTTCTATTGATATCAATCCAAATATTGAGCAACGTTTTATACAAAAATTTAGCATAATCTTAATAATGAAAATACCCGTTTAAGTATATTGGTCGCAAAGGGTCGCAATTAATTTAATATACATACAAGTTGTTTAAGTTTTCTCATATTTTGAACGCCCAAATCAATACGCACAAAAAACAAACTAGCAAAAATTAACAAAATCTTTTTTTGTATACGTTCTCTTTTGTACAACATTTACATGATAAACGAGGGGAGCGTTGTGAGTTGCTGCTGCGACCGCAACTCTACATTTATACCCGATACATAGTCAGTATGCCTACATTGAGCGACAAAGAGTGCGTGCGAGAGCGACAGAAAACGTGTCTGAAGCCTGTCTTCGGGCGCTGTGTAGCCACTGAAAATTTATTTGTTCCTTTTGGCTATATAAATGATCCGATCTGAATCAGATCCGGCAATGGTAGATATGGTCATTCATTATGTTTGTGCCTTTTTAGTTTTCTCGTATCTTCAATATTGTGGATGCCACAGATTTTATTCCTTTGTGGGGGCGTAAGGTAGTAGGCCGAAATTTTTAAATACACTTGCAACAGTTAGATGTAACAGGAGTATGGATACAAAATTTGGTTGCTCTAGCTCTTATACTCTTATACTTTGAGCACTAAGCGCTCATAAGGACGGACAGACTCGGCTATTGATGCTGATCAAGAATATATATACCTTATGGGGTCGGAAAGCTTCCTTCTGGACGTTAGACACCTCCACTTCCACCACAAATCTAATACACCCCTATACTCATTTAGAGTATCGGGTATAAAAAGAAAAGAAAAAGTTTCCCGTCGTTTTAGCACCAACTCTTTACTGATCGAGAAACTTTGAAGGGCTTCAAACCTTTTAGGGCTGCATTAAAATCTAAGATATTAATGCATTTCTCCTAGAAAGTGTATGCACTGTTATCATAGTGAGTCAATGCAGAAAAGATTATGTTTCTATGACATTTTCGAATTTATGCCAAAATATCGGAAGTCTGGTCCAGTGTGCAATGTTTGAAGATCTAATCGACCCTCAAAAATTTCTTATTATATTTATTATTACAATAAATTTGTCTGCCATTTTCAGAAAATATTTTGGAAAAGTCCTACCATGGACTGATTCGGGAAAATGAGACTCTTGTAGAGATAACACCGTTAATTAAAGTCGATGAAGAAAAAATTTGTAACTTTCGCATTCTGAAAAAGCCATATCATGAAATACCATTCGAGGTAAGTTGCTCTGATTACGCATACTCCCACCTGACTTTGACTTTAATTTCAGATTGAATTGGTCAATAATCTAGGAATTTTAAAAGCACGTCGTGCACTAAATTGTGAGAAACGCAAAAGTTATCACTTTGAAATTGTAGCAATATATTGCGATGGAACGCCATCGAATACAGCCAATGTTCATATAACTGTAATCGATATTAATGAGTATGCTCCTACATTTCTTGAGCAATCATATGTAACTGAAGTAGATGAGGGACGACTGTACAATGAAATAATACGCGTCGAAGCTTCCGATAAGGACTGCACCCCACTTTTTGGAGACGTTTGCAAATACGAGATACTCAACAACGATGAGCCTTTTGTTATTGATAATGAGGGCTCAGTAAAGAATACTGAGCCTCTTTCTCATAAAGCTTCCCATAACCACATTCTTTCCGTAGTAGCCTTTGATTGCGCGATGAAAGAATCCGCGGCTATCATGGTCAGCATAAAAGTACGGCGCGTGTGTGAAGCGAAATTTGTTGGTATACCAGAGCGAATTGACTACACCGTAAGTATATATTATGTAATTATGTATACAAAATAAATTAATTGGATTATTATAACCTTTTTTTACTAGTCCGGCAGCACTGAGAGCCTACAATTATTCCCTAATGCCCGCCTAGATCTGTGTGATATTTCGTGTAGCAATGAAGACCTGAGCATTCACGCATCAATAGCACTTAAGGTACGTTTATTTAAAAAAGTTTCAAACATATAGTTATTCTTGCGAGTATTGTCTACATTTGTTGTAATTGCATAGAAATGAACTCAGGCAGTGACTATCATATAGCTCTCATAATCGTTTTTCATACAGAGTGGAATTTATACCTCGGTTTGCCCCTTTTTTTATTTTATAACTAGCTAACCCAGCAGACATTGTTCTGCCAGACAACAAAAATTTTAATCTTTTTAATCTTAATTAAATGTGGCTAACTTATGGCGAAGAATTTTTAGATGATGAACTTTTTCCGCCTTTGAGGCAATAGATAAGCAGATTTTTGATATTATCATTTGTGTATATTAACGAATTTTTTAAAGGTTTTCTTTTGTTTGTTTTTTTGTTACCGTCTGATACACCTTGTTTTATTATCAATCGACCCGTGATCATGCTACATATAATTGGCCATGGGACAAACATAGATTTTCCAGATTCAGACCACATACTTTCAAGGGTTGGCCTTGTGATTTGTTAATAGTCAATGCGAATTCAAGACGTCTCGGAAATTTATTTATTATTATTCGCCAACGGGATAGAAGTCTTTTAAACTCAAACGGCATATCTGTTGGGTTCATCAGAATCCTGAATGAAAACTTCCTCACCTTCGAATTTTCCTTTGAGTATCGTCGCGTAAATCAAATTTTTTATCAATTTTCTTACCACCAACCGCGAACCGTTGCACGGTTTTGGTTGGCTTATGTTTCGAAGCATGATTACTACGGAGCCAACCTTTAGGCGTAAATTGGGCTGTGGTAAGCCTGGGACATCCAAGGAGTTTAAAAATTCAGTTGGATAGTTTGTGGCCTCGTCTTCATTTGTAACACAGTCAATGATCTCGCTCTGTATTATATATTTAAGATCATCTAAATCTTTATACTTGGTCGCTCACTCAACTCAGTATTTATGTAGTTGGAAATGGTGTTTGGCAATACTTTATTGATGAGCTCATCTTTTGTTGTGACAAAGTTACAGAAATTCTGAGGAAATGAAATCAATCCGCTCGATTCGTCGACAGGTATAGATGTTCAGCCATTCTTGAGTAATAAATAGTGTAACTAGCACTAATTTCTTACATATGTGTATATTTATTTATGTATTTATTAAGAGATATATATATCTTAATATATATATAGAATAAAAATAAAAAATATATATATATATTTATAAGATAGACTTTTTGAACTATTTATTTTTTTTTTTAGACGAAGCACATATCGTTTGGGTGCGATCGTGATATATCCAACTGCACCTCAACCCTAACCATGAAAGATCTCTTACCCCAAGATTCAGAGTGGACTAAGGATCTGAACTATGATGAAGGTGCAGAACCTGTCTTTCATTTTGATGGCTCAGTTGGAGTGGTGGTTCCTGATGCAGTTGTGGACCACTACGATTTCTCTACGCGCTCGTTTAGCATTCTTTCGATTTTTAGACATAGCAGTCAAAGTTCAACTAATAAACATGTCAAGGAACATCTACTGTGTAGTGCCGATGATCACAAAATGAATCGGCACCATATGGCACTTTTTGTTCGCAATTGTCGTCTGATCCTTCTCCTCCGAAAGAACTTTAATGAAGGCGATCTTAACATATTCAGTCCGGCTGAATGGCGGTGGAAAATTCCTCAGGTCTGTGACAACGAATGGCATCATTATGTACTCAACGTTGAACAGTTTGGCAAGGTTGAGCTATTTATTGATGGTATACGATTCGAAAGTTCCGTTGAGGATAGTCACAGTAATCCGGAGGTAATTGACGATTGGCCGCTGCACGCTGCGCATGGAGTAAACACTACTCTAGCTGTCGGCGCTTGCTATCAAAGTTCGGAAAATCGGTTAAAACATGGTTTTAATGGAGACATATCAGAGGTGAAAATTTCCCTTTATGGTATTCTGACCATGGAAGACATTAAATGTGGAACAAACTGTGCTGAGCACCTAATGTCGCCCAATGATTTAATAGTTGCGCAAAATAAGATTTCGGAATCGGACGTTCAAATCCAGGCGAATGTTCAAATGAACGAAATCTATATTGAAGCGCAGACTAAGCACAACATTGAGCAACTGATGCGTAAAATTCAGTACATCAATATTAAACAAAGTCCAACAATAGGACGGCGTAATATAGAAGTTCGTACATCGCTTATGTGTAATAATCAGAGCTCAATTCGCCTTCCGACAATAGAGACTTATATCATGGTTAACGAACCTATTGTCCAAGTTGGCATAAATGTCGGATCGACATCGGTAATTGAAAAAATGGATTCGTCTTCAAAAAAAAAAGTTAAAAAAATTAAATCACTCTTACAGAAGGATGGATTAAATCAAGAACCGCTAATGGATACCAGAAAAATCACAATTACTGGTATGTAAAATTCTTATCAAATAATTTATGTTTACAATACTTCTATATGGTAACGCCTTTTTATCCTTGAATTTGATACTCAAAACCCACTATATTATATAGCCGCCATTGGTAAGAGATCGAAATATAAATGATTTAACTCTTAGCGTGAGGAAGGTCATGTTCACGGCATATGTATAACCGATATTTTTTCTCAAACTGTTTGTCTAAATAAATTTCGGCACGACGGATTGGCTTCATTACTTTTTATTGTTTTCATTGTTCTTGCAGATCATTAGGGCATGATGGTGTATAAAGGAGTCAAGAAAAGATCCTGACTTCAATATAAAAACAACTATATGAGGTGTATAATTTTTTTATTGCGCTGACTGTACTCATCGAAATGATGAACAGCCGATTCCATAAATCTAAGTCCGCCCTTCTGTCAGTCTGTTTCTATATAAACTAGGCTCTTGTATTCTTTTATTTTGTTCTGTATGTAACTTTGCACAGTATTTAAAGGCAAAAGATAATTACAAACGATCGGGCAAAAACCAATCACAAAGTTAATAAATATATCGAATATATCATACATGTATTGTATTGTATATGTATTTTAATAATAACAAATTAATTCTTTCCAGGAACGTCTAATAAATTGGTATCGTATCAAGAAATAAAGTTAGGTGTTCACATTTTGGATAAAATTCACATCGCCACGTCAATAAAGAATAGTAAAAAAATGAATGCAAAAGAGTATTTGGATTCGTGCAGCGTGGTTGTCTTCCCTTCTTTAAATCCGGATCATGAAGACATTCAAATAGATGGGGATGAATCTTTGTCATCAACAATGGATATTAAAACCAACATAAATAAGGATGGCGTCGAAATGATGGGAATGGACAGTATTCATAATTATCTGAATGTTTTGCGTTCCCTTATCTACAGTAACAAAAAGCCGGCTTATTATCTAAATCGGGTGTTTAAGCTTTCTTGTGGCCAGCTAAGCTCCCAGTATAAAAGTGCTGAATATACCCTTACGCTGACTGTCCTACATCCCAAACAGTCGTTATCCAAGACTACAAATGCGCCACCTCCGCCGTCCTTGTTACAAGTAAATGATGCTGGAAATCCCAACAACGCAGCAGCTTACCACCTGAACGGTGATTTGACAAAAGAAGACGTCAATCTGGCTTCTGGTAGGTAGATTTACATTTTCTCAAACGGTTAAAATAAATTAATTTACCATTTTCCCGTTTCAGAAACTAAGGTTTTCTCATATTCACTTTTACACACCAATGATATACAAGAGCCGAAATCACACATACACTCTATTGTTCACAAAGGTTAGTGGAATTGTAACTTTAAATTGGAAAAATAAATTGATAATTGTGCATTTATGTGGTATTTTTTGTTTTAGCTGAAGGCTCTCATCCAACAATGCTTATAATTCTTATATGTGTTTTTCTGGTTATCTTGCTTTGTGGAGTTTCCATTGCTCGGATCAAAAATAACCATAAATATACGGATCGACATCAGCCGTGTCCAAAGGTTTGTATATCTTTATATATAAATCTATTTATAATATTAACAGAATTATCCGAATTACGAGCTGACTTTATATGGCCTTGTTCGTCAGTAGGTATATACTGTTTTATATATGGTTACATAAAGAAGAATGCCCGACTTAAATGGGTATTTACAGCCATATTGGTTTTGTACTTGTTCGTTCATTGATTTATTGGTAACGCACATCGATTATTTGTGCGCCGTTCAATCAGTCTTATGACCCATTAATTATTCGGCGATTTTAACTTGTCGAATAGTAACGTTATATGCTATATATGTATTGATTGTCATTAGGAATGTCATCTAGTCGCATATTTTACGGTTTACATCTAACGCTAACGCTATACAGTTCCGCTGAACGGAATATGTTCAACAATTATCAAAAGTAAAACCGCTGTATCTTTTCAACCAACTTACTGTGTTTTATGAAATTTGTATTTTATAGATTGATTTTTAATGAAACAAGAAAGCTTGTGGTCTCTAGAACCCGTTTTTATTCGACATTTTGTTGTCAGAAACATTGCAAAAGGGGGGACTTAATTTTTTCCCGGTAAATATTAATTCTCTTAGCTGCGTTGCGATCAATTTGATATAAAAAAACCATACAATAGCATTTTTCAAACGGTATTTTATTTATTGAATGTTTTCTCTTGGAGACTAATGACAAGAAGGCAAATCTGTATGTAATATATTTCTTTAATTAATTACAATTAATTATTTAGTGAACGGTCCTAACTATTATTGCTTGGTGGGGAGGTCTCTTCGCCGGAGTCGTGTATGACTAGTGTGTCAAATAAAAGACTACGCTGCCCCAGTTCTCAGTATATTCGATTGAGCCCTGGATTATTTCTAGATTACTAATGCAAACGTTTCCCCATACTTTGGAGCTATACACGTGTATGTCAAAATTGGTTTCAGAGCTGCATTATTACCATGTAATATGTTAAAGAATTTTACAAATTCTGCTTCGGAAACGGAGAAGCGCGGTAGGCGGGTACACAGCGGCTGTGTTTAAGCAACCACATTGAGTTTCGATATGAATTGATGGTAACAGATAATGCATGATCAGAATTTCAGTACCTCCATGAGCCTTACCATCGGGATGATTTGTCGCATAGAAGTTGTAGCCATTGAGATGAAAATAATTTTTATTTGTTAGTTGAGTCTCGGCGTCAATGTCATGTTGATCGAGGAACTGCAAGAGCTCGTATTTGTGCTGTGTAATGCCATTCGCATTCCAAAAAGGTATATTTACAGATTTATATTTGATAAGGAGCTCCAAGAGGAGATTTTGATTGCGCACAAGTTCCTGCATCGTTTGTTGTTTTGCTACCACTGTATTTCTTATAGTTAGCAGCATTGATTCAATTTCACTAGGCATTTGGGATGGATTTACGGGGGTACGTTGCCCAGTAATTTTTGGCCACTATTGCGATGCCTGATGCTGCATTATTCCTGAATGGGTTTAGAGACTGGTGCGTATGACTCGCTCGTGTAACTTAACGCCTTAGCAAAAGAAAATCCTGGGGTCGTAGTTGTGGTATACAAGACAAGTTTTGTTGGATGACTGGGCTTCGAGATGGGGGGTTTTGTTGGTCAAAGAATCATCAATCATCAGGCGATTTTTTAGTTTTTTATAGACAGGGCATTGTGGTTTCCCCCGAACTTGCTAAATTTTTTGTCAGATGTGTCGTCTTTATTTAAGGGAAATATACATCGACAACGAAGACTGCGCGTAGAGTGCAATAAGTTTTCGTGTGTCCATATTCCTGCATTTTATGGGTCCATTACGTTTGTGTTGTCCCTCAACGGTGCAGTAGATTTAGGAACTTTAGATTGGGCGAAATTAATTTTTACCTATTGGCATACTATTTTCTTTTGGTCGATACACTTAACCCAGCTCCAATTTCTTTAACCTATCGGTTGGCCTCTTGGTTTATACCGTTGGATCCCTGTTTCGTTGACGATCACAAAACGACACTGCAAGTCCTTCGATTTGCGCTTAAACAGCGTCAAACACTGCTCTGAAGTGGTCTCACAGTTGCGCTTGTTGTCCGGTGTGAAAACGCGCCCCCACTGCGCCGACAGCTTTCTCATGCACAAAATTTCATGCAGGATATAACCGACGCGGTCTTTTGAGTTGGCCTCTGTTTCAACTATCTCGGGCACCTTTAATCAGCGATCTCGATTTTTGTTACTTTATCCTGCATGGTAGGCATTTTTCAAGGCCTCTGAGGCACCATGGATCATCAAAAACCGACGTGCGACCACGTCACCGTACACAGCTTCTAAGCGCTTTTTGATTTCGCTGCGCAATTCCCTTCTAAACATAAGAATCGAAACGATATTGCTCTTTTTCCATTTTTCTAAGATACGTGGCCACGCTAGCTCCAACACGTGGTCAAAACAAAGCTACGAGTCGGATTCGGCTGAAAGTAGACAAAGTTGACAGTAACCGTCTACAAGAATGTACTACACGATATTAAATCACTTTTGCGATTCTGATACCATCGGGCGGCGAGGCTAAAACTTGTCAGACCACCCTCGTATACCTCTCACTATCATGGCATGCCTTTTTTCAAAAGGTATAAATATTTTTGATTGCTTTTAAATAATTCGAAGCGCACTAATTTAAGTCGAAACGCTTTTTGCTACCTAAGTGGATTCCATGAATGTCATTTAATACTACATCAGCAGTAAATATGTACCTACAGATTGTATATGCCTCTCAACTATGTATATGTGTCTAAAACGTTCCGATTTTCCATAATCATCTCGTTGGTAATATTAAAATCGGTTAAAAATAGACGCGTGTCGATTGGTGGAAAACAATTTTCAAAAAATACGATAGTGGTGCTTCAAAAGCTGTCTACACAGATCAAGAATCATGGATATATATATATATATACTTTGTTTAGTTCGAAACAATTAAATACTGTCAAAGAGACCGCAAGCTTTCTAGTTTTATTAAAAATTGGTAAGTTGGTTGAAAAGAAGAAGTTTTGCTTTTGAAAATTGTTTGAATCTATTCAGTTGAGCGACACTGTGTGTATTTATCTTAGTATATTATATTCTCACTAAGATCTCATTTGCCATTTGCAATGTTAGTCTAATAGGAAACTCATCACGTTTGAATTCAATTGGTTCCTTTGTTGTAATTATTTGAATGCGTGGTAGCAAAACATTTTCGTCTCTAAATATGCCGTTGAAAATTATGGCTTTGATGTTTTTCATAAATTTGTTAATCACCAATTGCGTGATATTGCACAGCGGTGGGGGGTTAAAATTTCAAAGTAAAATAATCGAAGTTCTTATCACAAACTCTATCTTAAAGTTTATATCGTCGACGTCCTCATTTTTTGCTGCCAAAATAGCAATTTCTTCCAGTCATGCATTATATATGTATTATGTGTGTAAATATGCGTTCAAATATATCATTTGGCGAATCAACAATTGTGCAGTAATCTATGCATTATTTTCATGGACACTAAGAAAATCTCCCAGCGGATTGATCTTGTAGCATATGGACATGCATGTTTGTTGTCAACTGGACTCTTTCAACATTACGTGGACGGATAGAGTATCCCTGTACTCTATATTTATCGGGTATAAAAATGGTGGGTGGTGATAGAAAACGGAGCAATTGTTAATAACCTATTTGCATAAATACTAAATGTACAAAAATAATTTCATAAAAATCGGTCGATCCGTTTGTGTGGAAATGTATCATAAACACTGATACACGAGATTTTTATAGATTGGATATTATAGGAAATTCTATGGCGAAATCTAATCATTACTTTTTTTGTAGATTGCTGATGATGGCTTGATATGGGATGACTCAGCATTGACTATAACCATAAATCCAATGCAAACAGACGCTGTTTCTGAAGATAGCTCTGACTCAGACAACTCGGATTCAGAAGACGAAGAAGGTAAGGTATTTTATAAAATTATTATGCATATTTTTAACCTTTCCGTATTTGTTAGCATTGAAAGATGGATTCGCTCACATTAATCAATTGGAATGGGACAACACCAATATATTTTCAACAGCAAATTAAATAATGTTTCGAATGATGGAATTAAAAATGTGTAAATGTGCTTTTAAAATCTTAAATACAGAATCAACAAATATCTAACAGCTTCATTAGTTTATATGTGAATTCTTATATTTACATACCCTTACATACATACATACATACATACTTATGTATGTACATATATGTATTTACACAAGCATAGAATATATAGTTAAGTGAACATTTACTTATGAATGTTTCCGCAAATATTGCTTGTGCTGAGAATGTATAGAAACTAAGTCAATGGATGAGCGCAAGTACCGAGAACATAATATATTTATGTTTATGTTATCTTGGCGCAAATACAGATTATGACTAAGGCATAGTACAATTATAATTATAGCCAGCATTGCTAGAGCCATAAAGGCATACAGACATAAATATATACCAACTATAAAACTATACCATTCAAATAAGATCTAAATGCTTGATTTGTATACCCTCGCAAAAGCATGTAACATTAATGAACAAGTCTTAATAAACAGCAACCACATTCTGTCTCTAATGCAAAGAAGGAGGTTTCTCCGTCCCCATAATTTAAGGTTCATTTTATTGCGAAATGCTGCAGTGGATATCAAAGGCCAAATTACACGAATTATTCTTTATGGCAACCGTTATATATTATTGTTAACTTAATCCATATATATTTTAAATAAAAAGTAAATAGATTAGGCAACATATCGATAAATACCTAAGAAACCTTATTTAATTTTCCTACCATAAACTATGAAATGAGTATATATAATATTATATTTGTCTTGAAACTGTCCATACCCACATAACCGGATATTTTAAACATAAATTTTAAACATTTAAAAAAAAGGCATTTATTTATTATTTATTGACATAAAAAAAAAATTTGTTTGTGTAAACATTGCCAGTAATTTTTTGTAAATTGTTATTCGTTAAATAAAAATTTAATTTTAGAGTTGTGTTTAAATATTTTGCTGTAGTGTTACGAGGACATATGTATAATGTGCAGTTGTAATGTGAAGTATATTACAAGGGATAAACAAAAACTTTGGAGTGCTAATAGCCATATGTATAACATAAGATTTTACTAACTTACTTACGTAAAATTAGCAACGTCTATTTTTTCAACACTCACACCCAGCCAGCCAGCAAAATTGGATATAAAGAGTTGAAGAATCGTTGATCTCGGCATCTCCCAGCTCAACTAAAGAGCCAAGATGACGTATATATTTCTCTCGCTCTTCCTGCATGCGCCTAATAACAATGTTAAATTTCATATGGCCATTATGGTTATAACTTATGGTTTGACCATTGAACTGAAATTAATTGTCTACTATATTTCAGTAAAGTCGTTGAATTTGACTAGATGTTTGCAACGAAGAGAATGATTTCCGAACCCGTCTTTCTGTTTTTTTTTTTTAATTTTCACCTATTCTGGATGCTACATATGACAACTGAAACATGGCATAGACCCTTTTTCAAGTTTCCACAGCATCTTAAGGAACTGGGCAGCTCGGGAATTTTTCTTTTCTTTCAAGTAGCTTTTTTTTTTACTGAATATTAGTTTTTTTTTATCGAATGTTTAATCCAATTAAATGACGATCCAGTTTGAAGAAACTTTATTGTACATGTGCCTAAAATATCTCATCAGAATTTTACACATGTTTACACATGTTCACAACAGTATCAGAAATATTAAATATATATATTCATATTCCAGTATTGAGGCTGCTTGAGAGCTTAGTATTCGTCTCTGCACATTAGATATGTATTGTAGCGCAAATCTTTAAAAATGCTTCAAGTTTATCTAATGTAAGTACAGATATTTTTAAAATAGGCAATCCTATGCAAAGTCTTAAACATCTACTTATTAACAGGTTCAATAGGTTCACAAACATCTGTAAAAATTTACGCTTATTAACTACACAACAATATAATACAAAAATATTAAATGCTATCACACACAAATATTAGTTGCATATAAAATCTATGAAATAAAAACGCTACTGATCGGTAACAGGCCATTTTATTCTAAATGTTATCATATATATATAAATAAATTTTTATATATAAGTACATGTTTACTAAAAATATTCATATATATCTAAAACGGAAATAAAAAAAATCCATAAAATCAATAATCAAAGGATTTCGTGACAGGAAAGGCAAACTTTCCAGTTTGCTTTATCAACGCCATGCATAAAAACTCAAGTTCTGATCTCGATAACAGGAGAAAAGGAGACGGTTCGTGAGTATCGGTAACCGTCCTACAATACTAAAATACTCGAGTCTCATTCAGTATACACATATATATATGTATGTACGTTAGCGTCGGAATTCGTATCGGAGCTGATGACTACCGCATGCGTTTGCTATTGCTGTTCGCAAAAGTGACAGATTGATTTGTTGGTTAATAATAGGACGGGATATGAAAGATATAAAAAACATAGAGAGAAACCTTCGTTTCGCACTTTGTTTATCCTCTTTCCACCAAATTACCTAATTGATACGAATTTAAGAATATTTGATATGTTTCCATACATCACCATCTATACGCGAGACAGTAATTTTTTTTTCTTCTGTCTGTAATAGTGATCAGGCTAATAATAATGGTCTAACTATTTGATACTGGTTTTTCGGTTGTTTCGTATTTTCAATCTTTGTAACTCTAACTCTTATATTCTCTGAGAAATAGGCAATAATCAAGGCGTAAATGAAGACATAGCAATGTGGTTATGTGGTTGGAAACGCTTTCTAATGGGTGCTACAGAAAAAAAAAAAAAAAATTATATGTATTCCCTATACTCTTTGAGTATCGGGTTTAAATACGAAAATCTCATATACTATATGAATATTTGAATGAATAAAAGAGTTCGAGAAACTCGGTTTTTTGCCCAGACTCTTTCACCAAATCAAACATTTTTATGTTATGCTATTCTTTTTCCATTTCTGTTTACCTCCAGTGAGACTCGTAGCCGAACAAATCGTTAAAACCTAGCTTTTCTAGTAAAATAGTACGAAAGGTTTTCAGTCGGACAACAGCTGTTGCTCATAGAGCTCATAAATATCATGCCTGTTGCCATCCATATCCATTACACTAGTAATTAACGTTTTTAATTTTTTTCATATATTTATTTTCAATTAACACACACATACAGTTATTCGTAAATATCTTTAATTTTGGTTTGTGCTTTCTTATAAGTAATGGGAGTTACCTAATATAAATTTAGAACTAATTATAAATACGAGTACGAGTAAAACTTCGATTTCGATATCCATTCGAGTATTTCAAAACAGTACAGATGCTTTTTATATTAGCAACACATAAAATACATAAAAATAAATTAGGGCTCATAGTGCATGTATGTAAATTTATTAAATTAAATAGTACGTTACGTACACATACATTCATTCAAAAATCCATCATGCACGTACAACTTTCCAGTGAACCAAATGTATGGATCCAAAGCATGCGCTTCTTAAACTTATTTTATGTGCTCGTAGTAATACATCTTGATTTGGATTTGGTGCATATTATACGCTATATTAATACACTAATTATCAACGTCAATTCCCCTTCATTCATACACGCTTATGTACAATTTATACATAAATATGTCTTAAGGTTTTGAAAGTTTTTAAAAAACTTGCATGATTTTTGGTTGCGTTGTTCCTTATTGAACATTTTGGTTTCTTCGGTTCTTATGTATTAGGTGAATTACTAACTTACGTTTAGACCAGTCCTTGTTTGTTCTTTTAAAAAATACCTAGATTGCAAGCCTTGCACGTGAAAGGTCGAATCAAACAATAAATGCAAATTTGTATATGGGAACCGTTCACATTACTATAATTGTAGCCTTTGACATTCAAACCAATTCAAATGAGATTTTTTTTTATTTATATACAAACGGTACTAAATATTGCAAGACCCTCTGTTATCAATCATTAAACGGCTAGCGATTATAAACAAAAAATTTAGAATGTGCGAAGACCGTGCAGAATAGAATTCGATCTATCGTCGTGTTCAATCAATAATAATTAATTCAGTAGAGGTATTTATTAGATTGATGATTATACAAGGAATATGTCTGATGTCTCAGACTTTGTGCATGCACTACCAGTTGGCGACGCAGCTGATGCTAAAGAATTGGCCCGCGTTGCAGCTAATGGCGAACGCAGGTCCTGGCTCAATGCTGACTGTGGCTGCCCACCTTCGTAGTAGTATGATGAGTCTGAAATACATTAAAAGACAAAAAATAATATGAACAGATTTCGTAATTAAAATGTGATGATTTACTTACTCACTAAGCCGCCGCTCGCACCGTAACCATAGGAACCATAAGCACCTCCATATTGTGTGTAAGCTGAACTATAGGCATATTCTGTACCTGGTACAACTGAGCTACATCCTGTAAATACAAATATTTTAAAAAACCATACGGGATTATGTTCAAAGTGGATCACCAGAATCAACTAAAACAACACATATAAAAACTAAACAAAAATAAAAAAATTTGGGAAGTAAAAAAAATTATACCATAACAGTTTGAAAATATTTTGATTTTAATTTAGAAAGTCATTAAAAAAATAAGTACATATGTATGTTTGAATATATGTATGAATGTTTGTAGGTAGGCGAAGGGTATGATGAACGGAAAACAAATATATTTACGCCTACAGTTTATTAAAGCAATTCATCAAAGTTCCCTTAGGAAAGAGATTGTTCCGATTTCAAGTCCCTCTAAAGTCGAAATGCCTGCATTTTTTAAACCTTTTTTAACATAACAACTTTTGTTTCCCGGCAAGAGGATAATATTCAATCATTTTAATTTAGATGCAACGCAAAGAATGAAAACTTTATCAATGAATGCATAGGTTTTTAGATTTACTTATATATAGGCTAACAGGGCTAGTATTTAACTGTATTGTTACCATCACCAGTATTGTGCGAGAGACAAACGTGCTGAAAAGAGAGCTAGTTTTTCCGGCTCTTCCCGTGCAGATGTGAGGCGTATGCAAAGAGATAGACATTTCGTTTTGTTTGCAACTTGCCTGTAGAGTAATGATTAAAACTTGGCAGTACTGTAGGTGTAGCATACATGCCTACATTACTACATACATTTGTATGAACTTCTGAACGATCGTCAGCAGCGCTGACACTTAGCGAAGAGGTGCCTCCGCTCGGTTGAAGGAGTATTAGAGATGAGGTATGTGTATTGGTATTGGCAAGGGGGCTGGCGTTGCTTGTTATAAGTTGCTGTTCTGTTATATGGTGCAGATTTGGTAAGGGTATATGGTTATTCTGCTCCAAATTTGGTTTGTTAGATTCCATGCTCTTGTCAGATCTGTTGGGATTCTCCTCCCTGTCCCTGCTGACGCTTCGAACCACTGGCTCCTTTATAAGTAATGTACTGTTTATATTACTTTCGGTGTGATTTTGCTCGTTTCGCACAGTCCTTGGACATAGTCTGGTCGAATCGGAGCTTCCCGAAACTGCAATAGCACCTTGTCCCGCTGGTGAGTTTGAGCCATTGTCCAAGCTTGTTATTGACGGATAGCTTCCGTTTTCAAAGGCTATTGCGGCTATATACATAGTAACAATTTTGAATCAGTTTGAAAATACTTGTCTTTAAGAGTACTGTACTATGACCTAAAGCGAGCATACATATACAGTATCTAAACAAAAAACCGTTTATGATAGCGGAATTAGCTTTTCAATTACAAAATATTGGCAGAGCAAAGTTGTAAAACTTTTGGCTTCATTCGCGCAAAAAATTGAATCCTTAATTAAACCTGAATTTTCATGTTAGAAACATTCAAACTTGATCTATCCTTACCTGCGTAGAAGGGTGCGATTGACTGTTCCTGTACTGTATTTGTACTAAGCTTCATGTCATGCATACTTATAGGGACTAGTGGAGTAAGCGAACTGCTGCCTACATCGGTCAAGTTCATAAAGAATAAGTAAAAAATGTATATGTAAACGTAAATTAAAGATTAAATAAAAAGCTTCAAAATAAAAGGAATTACTTAACAACATCTTAATAATTACATATCGAAAATTTTGTTTATTTACTTACCGATAGATGGACCGATTGTTTGTGTGTACAGGGAGCCTTGAGTCTGCGACATTGTGGCTATACTGTCATATAGCATAGAAGTATCATTGCCAGTTGGTGCCGCTCCTGACATTGATATCGTGCTGGCTGAAAACCCGTTTGATGGTTCATAGTATGAGGGAGCATTGGTACCGCTGCCAGTTGTTAAATTTCCTAGCTCGGAAAGCAGTTTGTGTTCATCCTTAATGCACCATTTCCCTGACCATATCTTAAAAGAAAATGTATAATTACCAGTCGACATAAAAACTAGGGGGAACGTAGTGAGTTGCTGCTGCGAAAATCTATATTTATTCCCGAGGCATAGTATGGCTACATTGAGCGACAAAACGTGTGTGCGAGAGAGACAGAAAATCAGTCTGAACGTGTCGTCGGGCGCTGCGTAGCGACCGAAAATTAATTTGTTACTTTGGGCTATAATAATAATCCGATCTGATCAAAATTCGGCAATCTGGTACATATGGTCATTTTGCCTGATTTTTAATTTTCCTGTATCTCCAAAATTGTGGATGCCACAGATTTTCGTTCTTTGTGGGGACGGAAGGGGGTGGGGCGAAATTTTGAAATACACTTGTGCAGGTTCGATATCACAAAAGTGTTGACGCCAAATTTGGTTGCTCTAGCTCTTATAGTCTCTGAGATCTAGGCGATCACTTTTTGCGATAGGCAAAGCCGACCATGAAACGTGTGAGTTAGAGGGAGACAGAGCGAAAGAAAATGAAATTATTTTCATCATTCATTGTCATTCTCTAAGATTCTGCGATTTTTGGTTTCCTCGTATCTTTGAAATTGTGGATGCCACAGATTTTGGACCTTTGTAGGGGCGTAAGGGGGCGGGGCGATATATCACAGAAGTCTGGATACAGAATGTCGTTGCCCTCGCTCTTATAGTCTTTGAACACTAGGCGCTCATAGGGACGGACGGATAGACAGACAGGGCTCAATCGACTCGGCTATTGATGCTGATCAGGAATATATATATTTTATAGGGTCGGAAACGCCCCCTTTGGACGTTACAGACGTCCATTTTCACCAAAAATCTATAAAATATAATCCTATACATACTTAGAGTATCGGGTATAATTAATGGCGAGTGGTGAATTATTGAGAGCACGAAGCAGATCGGGGATCAGCCTCCAATGAAAAGAGTTGTGTTGCGAAACCAGTAGACGAACGACGTGTAAAATCAGTACCATTATATGTTTGTACTTAATCAATGATTAAAACTTTACTCGTATTAATGAACAACGAGGGGAACGTTGTGAGCTATATTAGATACTCAGTCAGTATGGCTTCCCTCTGCCAGAGGATGAACACTGCACGATAATAGACCATAATAATAATCCGATCTTATCTAGATTCAGCAATTTGGTAGCTTATCTATGATTCTGCGTTTTTGGTTTTTTCGTATCTTCAAAATTGTGGATGCCAACTATTTTCGTTCAGTGTGATATCACAGGAGTCTGAATACAAAATTTCGTTGCTTTAGCTCTTGTAGTCTCAGAGAACAGAAACAAATTAATTGTTAGTTGCTACGCAAACCTCATTCTCTCTTTCTTTCTCTCCACAGAAAACATACAACTAATAACAGAATATCTAAAAGAAACACATATACATATATCATGACATCTTCAAACTTAGTTAAAAAAAGACAATTACATAAAATTTAGACAACCAACAAATGTCAGTTAACATTATAAATAATATAGCCATGTGACATATGATTAAACAACTCATCGATGGTCCTCGCAGCTTATGTCGAACTTATTCTCCTGACATCAAATAAAAAAATTAGATAAACATCAAGCATTTATGTACATCTGCTTCGTTTATTGGTACTATGGACAAAGAAATTCCACATTGTCATACGCTCAAACTCAAACATGAGTCATATGTTGACTCATCACGATAAGTACCTATAATTGAGACATCACCAGAAGTCCTGAATTCTATTCGCTGGGTCAGCTATTAAAGTATGTGCATGTTCTTGATCAAAAGCAGAAAAAGTCTTCTCTGATAAATTTTTTTTGAGAAGCGTCCAAAGTGCTTTCTTACTTGCCTCATAAATATTTGACTAAAATAATAGTCAATAATATTGTAAACAGTGCCGCCGCGGCAAAAACTATAAAACCACTTAGTTCTGATCTGGATAAAGTCAACCCGACAATGATATAAAAATGTAAAAAAAAACACTTACGTTTGGGTAAATTGGATCTCCACTGTAGCCCAAGCGCTGCCGCTTAGCTTCATCGTCTGAATGAATGTTTGTGTCCCGGTTTTCATCTAAAAGTTGGTGGAAAAATGTTCAGTTAATTTAATTAGTGTGACTGTTGATATCAATATTTCGTTAAGCTTTTTTGTTCATAGACGTTGAGTGTCACGTGCCGCTTAAGTGCATTTAGGAGTAAGAGCCACGTTGCCGTAGAAGGCGTGTTTACTTCAACACCCTTCTCTGCTACACAATTCTTGAACGCTCTACTATACATAGTATCCATTATTATAATGACATATAATGTAGAAAAATTAAGTATTGAGTAAGAACAAAGACGTTACAGTCAGAGCTATTGGAATAGTATACTATACACTGATAGTAAAGTAGATCTTTAGCTACGACTTTCAACGCATTTAAAATATTGGACTACAAGGATATACTTTGTATAATGCTTTGCAATGTTGCCTTGTAATACGAAATTACACTGAGGTTAATATGGTAAAATCAAAGTTTTGTACTATGCTCTTACAGTCCTATAAAATTAGGTATCAGAGAATTAGAACAGGTTGGAAAACAGATTACGGCGGCAAGTTGTATTTCGGAAATGAAATTCTGGGAGTAGATGAAACTAAATCAACTAGTTTACTTCCACCGAGATTATACTACAAATCTAGTTTGAATAGTGCCTTTTTGCTTGTCTTGATTAAAATTTGGAAAACTGAAATGACCCCTAGCAAAAATTCCGCTTGCATATGCTACTTATACTTTAATTCGTATGTTCCTACATATTTCTACTCCCAACCACTTTCCACCCCCAATAAATACATTCCACCAGCAGGAGGTCACTTACCAGTTGTGACTCGGAGTTATCTCACCAAATTTTCCGCACATAAGCGCTACATTTGTATTGGAAAGTAGCAAGGGTGATATTATATCAAAGGGAATTGACAACCAATTTATGAGAAGCTGGACAGTATTTGAAGCATTGAGTAGATATAAGATTTGCGTTATTGCTTTTTTATTACCCATACAGTGACAAAGAGGTGACCCGCTGACGAGGAATTCATCTGATAACCCCTATCCGAATAGGCAATCCAATCTGAACCTTTTTCGAAAAAGGCATGCAAAGGGGGGAAGGAGTGGCCACAGTCACACTCAAATCGGATTTTTTTTTTCAGAAGGCGATGGTTATCGTTTTTGCTGCACATCTAGGGTGCAATTGCCATAGCCATTAGTACGTATTTATTGAAAGCGACAAGTCCTTGCTGGGACTTTACTTAACAGCATGTTATTCTTATTATTTAATGCATTGTGCAATTTGATTTCTGTTTCTGTTTTTGTCCTATCCTATTTCAAATCCGAAACATTTTATGCTATGCTTTTCCTACCACCGCCACGTAATTGAGATATAATCTTATTACACAGCTCAAAATGTGGTTTGAAGATAGCCGTGATACGACCACAAAATACTTCCCGTTAATGCTACGCACTCTCAGTAACATCTTTTCTCTTCTTACACACATCTGTCCTGGCATTTACAAATTAATTACTTAAAAATGAAAAGGACGTTACGTTACGTTCTTTTATCAACATACATATGTTAAACATGAATGAGAGCCTTAGGGGTACAAGCTAATCTATATTAATCAATTAATATTAGTAGCCACAACCAAAATAAAAAATTATTATCTAAAATCTATTAATAGTTATTTATGTCGAGATATTATTACCAAATTTTTTTTGTTGTTTTCTAAATACATATTTACATATGTATGTTCATAACAATTTATTTATAAACGGAACACACTTAATTCGGTGTGTTATAAAAGCAGTCAGCCCAGAAAATGCCGTTTCTTAGCTCTTATAATCTCTGAGATTTTATGCGAAGATGGTAGACTAAAAACAATTCACTGCACTTATAGTAGCCAAAATACGGGAGGAACAGGCGAAGAAGAATGCTCAGATTGTAATAAGAAATATATGTATGTATACAAATAATATTACGTGTAATAGATATGTATCTCGACTCTACATTTTTGGCAATAATACATCTTATCATTAGATGAAATCCCTATTACCATAACGACTTTATGTACTCAAAACGATACGTACCATGGGTTTCGATTCTCTTGCGTTTAAAACCAGGATCTGTTGTATTATTATTGTTGTTAGTGCTGTTGTTGTTGTTATTGTTCTGAGAATGATGTCCATGCTGTATACCGAGAATTCCATTTATGCTATATCCAGTCGTGCGGTGCTCAGGCCCTGCGCTGACATTCCCATTGCTGGTGCCATTACTGTTATTATTTAAGTGACCTATTGGGTCTTGGACGGTGTCAGAAGCTGACGTCGGTATTGGGGCGTGGGCAATTACTGCAGATGCCGCAGCTGATGTTGTGGTGATTGCGGAATTAGTGCTGCTGCTGCTGGTCCCAACGCCAGATGCCTGCGGATCGCTATTTGCACCTGTACTACTATCAAGGCTCTCTGTGGCATTATGCCCGCCACTGAGATTCTGCTGCATATGATGCTGCTGATGATGATGAACATGCTTTGCTTTTTCGGCGGCCTTGTTCCTTACAATTCTGAAAAAAGTCAAATAGTTTAAGCAGAGAAGCCCATTCAGCAAGTTATGGCTAATCAATATACTTTTATAGCCCAAAATAGTACAGTTTTAAAAACGTTAAAACTTTTTTTCTTTTGAAAATTTTCCATCCCATGAATAACAGTGTAATTGAATAAACTTTATATACATATGTATAAAATATATAAAAAGTATATAAGAGTAAATAGCTGCTATAGGAAATACAGATATACACCAATTTTTCTGACACTCTTTTTATGAGCATTAAATCAAATAAAATATATTTTTAGAAATATTTTTAACTAGCCATATAGAATTGAAATCGATGGAACTGCAATGGTAACCAATGCTTCGATCCGCGACGCTAGCACTTATTTCATGTTTAGGATTAGTAGTTAAATTAATGCTAACTGCTGCATGTTGTGGTCCCGTAATTCAAAGAGACCTACATATATTTTTAATGTGTGTAAGAGTGTATACAAGTTTAAGTACATTTGACAGGTTGATTTCGCAGTGGCCATAAGAAATTTTGAGGGTTGGAAGAAGAGAAGCCCATTCAGTCCAAATGATGGAAGCTGACATCAGTTTCAGATTTTCGATTCTTTCCTGCAAGCGCCGGCTCAGAGACGGGATGAGCAATTGGGTATTTGGGCAGTGCACACAATTGAGACATATGTTTGGGATGTGAGTAAAGTACAACTCGTTGCTTTTACTGTTGTATACATATATATCCTCCAACATTTGATTTGACTTGACTTAGAGGGCTGAAAACTAAAATTGGTTGAGTGCTATGAAAGTCACTTTATTAAGTGTCTGTCTCTCGGGAATGTGAGTCGAATAGGGGAGTGCTGCCACAGCCGTACGCACAATTTTGATTCGATTGAATCACCACCCTAATCATCGCTCAAGTGCTATCTCATCACACATTGTCGCATTATGAAATGTTGTTGTTGATTATCCCTTGAATTACCCCACCTACCACGACTTGTGCCCTATCATCGGTCACATGTCAGTGATTGGATAGAGAGCAATGCATAATCGTAATACGCATCGAATTGATTCTGAATGGTTGCACGTGTCGGGTGCGGTTGCAAATTCCAATTCGAATTTATAATTTTTTAGACTATTTCAATAGAATGGTGTAGGTGAAAGGTCTGTCGCGCGTTGCTTGCAAGTGCGGCTCGTGCGTGTTAGCTTCACAAACCACAAAAGGATGCCACCGTTAAAGCTGATCTCGTTTTAATTTAGTATTGTAGGGCTCAGCCACTTTATTGCGGTTGCTTTGCAAATCACTTTAAGTAGCTGACTCTTGATAAATTCTTGGTCGCCGCTAAAATGAATTATGGTCAAAAAGGAAGTGCGTAAATAACAGCAATGTGGGACAGCGAAAGGCCACGTGGCATGGCCAAGTCACTACGATGATGCTGTAGGCAATAAAGCCGCACCGGATGGTGGAAAGGAAAGTGCCTTTTGTGGTGGTCGTGTGTCAAGCATTGTGCCGCAATTATGAACGCTAAAAACTACTTAGATATTTTTATTAGCTGGATGGTTGGGATCAAATGAAGCTGGAGTAACATCCAGTTTTGAGGAAGCGGATACGGAAGTTAGCTGCATGACAGCAAACAAACATGGCAACACTAACTTAACGCATTGCGGACGTGCGCATGTCCGTTATGTTTTGCATGAATTTTTCATGCCCAAAGCCCTGACTCATGGTTTTCAAATGCATTCGTTCTTACCGGTTTATTGAAGAAACACTAGGAACATTGTCCTGGGAGCATATACCCTCCGCCAAAAGTCGATCTCGTATCTCCCAAGCGAACATTGTGGGGTTTTCCCGCTTATAGTTGGCTATCGCATCCACCACAGGAGGTGTCGCTACTTTTGGCTTCGATCCGCCTATAACACCCGCCTTAAAGCTACCAGTCTCGTAATATCTGGAAATAGCATAAAAAAGATTTTGTTTTTTGTATAAATGTGTATAAATTAACAAGAAGGATCGAAATTTTGGGAGACAACTTATGATATACAAAAAGATAGTTATATCTTGGATACTATATTAACAATACAATGTAAATTTATCCATTAAGATAACATTATACCTCGAAGTTGAAAAGACCATATCTTGCATATCTCGCACTATTCGAATGCAGCTAATCGCATCTGATAAAATGACAAAGTCATTGTAAGTTAAAGCACACGTTAATTCAAATGTAGTAGTTTATTTTGGTTAACTTTATGGCTACATCAACTGACTTTGTGATTTTGATGTCGGATATGATATATATTATTTAAGGAGTCGGAAACGTTTACATCTCTTCGATTACCTGGTATATAAATTTGTATTGGTATATTGGTATGTTCAAGTGCTTTACTACAATCAAGTGAATATGAAAATAAAAAATACACCTTACAGTGAAAAGTAGTCGATTCGACGAAGCTTGACCATCTAGCGTTAGGAGTACCCTATATTTTTAAGTATTCAATTAAAAACAATTAAAATGCCAGCAATCCTTTAGGCCGAGTTTCGATTCCGTGTAGCAGTCTCTCGGTAACATTGAGTTGGTTAAATCCTATCACCGCAAAAGATTTATTATCCTATTCGTGGTGCATACGTGTATGTTGCTGCAGCTTGGCCCAAGCATCCTTAATACATTTTTACATATACATATGTACATACATATGTACACGTACTCGTATCTGCGGTAAGATTAATTATACCCGATACTCAAAGAGTATAGGGGTACACTAGACTTGTGGTGAATGTGAATGTGTGTAACATCCAGAAGGAAGCCTTTCCAACCCCATAAAGTATATATATTCTTGATCAAAATCAATAGCCGTGCGATATAGCCATGTCTCTTGACCTCTCTGTCCGTCTTGTTTGACGATCTGTGGCATCCACAATTTTAAACATCATAGAGAAGGTCAATTGTTACCAGATTGCCGAGCCAGATTGAATCATTTTTAAATACAGAAGGTACAAATGAAATCGCAGTGGAGGGGAGCGAGATAAAACGGATTGTGTTGTTGTGAGAATGGAGAAAAAGAGACAGATGTAAAAATAAGCACCCATATAAATACACTAGCTAAGTATCGGATATAAATGTATAGCCGCAGCCGCTAGTAGCTCGTTTTCATTATATTCCTTTTCTCCCTCTACGAATATCTTACTTTTATTAAGAATTCAATGAAACACTCAAGTGCATGGGATTTATTTATACTATATTATATCTAAGATCAAGCTTGTACATACATTTTTGGGTTTGAAAAATGCTTTAAAGGACATTTTTCACGAGCCTATAGAATCAGATACTAAATAGATAACTAAATATTGGCCTAGCTCTATATGCAAACCATAGTATTCTGAAGATAGTATTTTCTAAATGTTATCAACTTTTCTTCATGCATAATTACCTTGATAGTATTTTAGATACACAGCCATGGCTCACACGTAACTGGCGGGATATGTCACATGGACGAACACCATTGTGCGCCAGCTCCACGATGCGCTGGCGAACCACATCAGGCAATGGGCGTCCGTTAACAAAAACACCTCCCAGCTGATTTACTCCTCCATGACCTGTGAAAAATTAACGAAAAAGAATTTAATTTTAATTTATTAGAAGTTTTTCTGTAGAAACCCCAGAACTAACATAATCTGCACGAATTTTTTGGATGTCGTGGAGATACGTTATATCTTCCTTTTTAAGAGGAAGGGATCAGATAATTATTATAGGCAGAAAATTAATCAGACAAGAAAGGAAGAATGTGATATCTTCGAGGGCAACTATTTACTTTACCTTTGCAGATCGATCGTTGCAATGTCAATGACGAGATTTTTATACCAATTTGGTGTAGCGTACAGAGCTACACATGAAATTGTAACTTTGTAACTTATACATGTGTATATACATATGTATGTATGTATCTCCATGTATGTATGGCATTTGAAATTAATAAACCACGCTTTTTAAAGGATCATTCCACACAGTTTTGTACTTTTACACTTATTTGAATGTTAGATTTGTTAAACACCTAAACTTAAGAATGCAAACACATACGATTTTTGCACGTGAGAGTATACATATATCTACATATGTGCATGGTGGGCCCTTATAGCTGTCTCACTTTTTTAAAGTAAAGTAAAGACTTGCAGCCGTTATGAATTCTTATTCTTACGTTCATTGTGAAATAAGTTGACATAGTCAACATTTCGTTCTGTATAGCCATGGAAAGCATAAACGTAAAAAGCAACTGTAGCTTTGTTCGGAATTTGGATTTCCAAAAATGCACTCAAAAATCTAGGATTGTGCATTGCACTCTATCTTTGTTCAAGAGAATTGGAAGTGCTTCAATGTCCCACATAGTAGGGAAACAATGCACAGTTACAAATTCCAGATTGGTAAAGATGTCAGGGAGAAAATAAGAGTAAACTGTGCAGGTTTTGGAGTAAAAATGGCAAAAAAGCTAAATGTGAGCAGTACAACCTTTAAAAACGTAATTAAAAATTAGCTTAGGATAAAATCTTACAAAAAAAGCGCATTGCCGGCCTCATTGAGGGTAAACAAAAAAACCAGCAATTCCTGAATGAAATCGGAACATGATCAAAAAATTAAAAGCTATACACAAAAAGCACTTTGGTAAACGTTTTAGCTTATAAGAAAGCAATTGAGAGATATCTGTTATGGTTTTGGGAATCATATCCACATTATGAAATATCAATTTTTGTCATGCTTTTTAAAATAATGTCTTTTCATCTTGGTGAGCCGGTCTCCATCCTTTCCGTATCTGAATCCATTGAACTTCTGCATATGTGGTTTGAAACAATTTAACCGCCAATCGCAGAAAATTTGGAACGAAATTCCCGATGTGGTCCACTTGCATCTGTCTTCTAAAACGCTTAAAGTTACATAAAGCTGACTGGGAATTATTAAAATCGATGGGTAACGTTTTGAGTTTTTACGGTGACCGCAACTCTACATTTATACCCGATATTTAGTCAGTATAGCTCTCCTCCGGCAGACGCCGCTAATATCAAACGACACGACAAAGAGTGCGTGCGAGAGAGTTAGAAAATTATTCTGAGCGTGTTTTGGCTTAAAAATGTTCTGATATATATGGTCATTCTCTATGATTGTGCGTTTTTAGTTTTGTCGTATCTTCAAAATTGTGGATGACACAGATTTGCGTTTTTTGTGGGGGCGGAAGTGGGCGGGCCGATGTTTTGATATATACTTGTAACAGTGACATATCGCAGAAGTCTGGATACAAAATGTCGTTGCTCTAGCTCTTATAGTCTCTGAGCACTAGGCGCTCATAGCGACGGACAGATAGACATGGCTCAATCGTCTCGGCTATTGATGCTGGTCAAGAATGTACTTCCTTCTGAACATTAAACGCATCCATTTTCACCACAAATCTAATATACCCCTATACTCATTTTGAGTATCGGGTATAATCAAAAATTGTATAACTAATGATTATATGTTCTTATAAAATATATAAAATGAGTTTTCAGCCTAAACTATAAGGTCCACGCTACCCTGTATATGTTTTTGGCATACAGAATTGTCAAAATAGCACCGCTCAAGACACATTTTTAATTGCGAAATAACGTACACAAAGAGACCGATGTCATCTGCTGATTTAAGGCAAGAGTCCTAATGATAAACATGCCACCAAAACAGAAGAGAGCACTTGTTTCCACCCCATTTACAGTCTGACACTTCTCTGCGGCTTTCGCAATTATATTATACGTTGGAATTTGCAACAGTCTGTACAGACTCCCTGGTTTTCCACTTGTCTTTATAAAATAAAAAAAACCCAGAAGAAGCAGGAGCCAAATTCCGATTAAAATCATTTTGAATATAATTAGTTTGTCATGCCACAACTAACTATTAAATATGACTGGCTGCTATCCGATACTTCGCTCAAAATGTTACTATTGCTAACCAGAATATACATATGTATGTATCTGCGTAGTATACTCCATTTTTGGATTAATTCAACAATATCCCGGTTTTGTTTTGATAACTTTTTGTTTTTGTTCGACCGCAGCTTGTGAATTTTTAAAATTTAAAAAAGACCAAAAAGTCAATTTGACTCTATGATTGAAGAGTAGCTTTCTTAAACGCTTATCCTATATAGGGTTAGATACAACTGAATATTTTTCATCTTCATTCTTAAATCAGATCGTTATTCAAATCATGGGATGGCTATAAAAATCTTCGCAATTCGAATGTGCAGCTGACATTATCCAACTGCCTTCTGATACATGTTTAAGCACGATATATGTACCTGAATGAGACCAAACTGACGATACGACACAATTTAAGGACTCAATTCGGACCAGAGCTGCTGTTGCATCTAGATGCGCCCAGCAGGATGTCGAAAGAATAGAATATCGGAACAAAAGACTATTGTTTGAATCACATAATACTTAATGGAAAATACAATTCTCATATAATGAAGTATCTATAGACTCTTAGTGACAGAGATTCATAAAATTCCTTTGTTTCATTTCACTCGTAGATACCTAACAAATAACAAAATATTATATATGTACATACGAGTGTAAATATGTGCCAGCGATCATTATTTGATTTGATTTGGCTTCTCCCTTAATATGAAGCGTAATATGATAAATATTTGTTTTAATAAACAATGTCTTTGCGATAAGGAAAGCCTGCAACATGCTTACCCTACTACATTCACAAAAGAATTCAGTTTTTACGAACACAAATGTATGTACATACATATATGTATGTATATGTGATTGACAAGAGCATATTTCTATACACTATTTTCAATATTTTTCTTGATTAGAAACGCAAATATAAATTCCCTGTGATCTATAAATTCCCTCAAATGCATACAAATTTCAAGAATGAATGAGAATAAATGAACACAAAAATATATGCAAATAAAATCTCACGTTACAGTTGAAACTTGTTTTCAAATTGTTAAAATAAGAAATACATCTTGAGACGTTTGCTTGCTAGGGACCGGAACGTTTCGTTTTATAATGTAAAGGGTTATTACATGTATAATATTCCATCATATTCTGATTGTAGCGGTAGGCGGTCGAGAGATCCATACTCCAATTTGTCGCTAATATCGCCGTATTCGGTAGCGTTATCTCCAAAAGGTGGTGTACAGTTCCGAATAAAAATCAAAACTAGGAGGAGCACAGGGTTTAGACCTTGCGTGCCATTTTTTTAACTCTATGTTTTAGCTTTTTGAACTCTACAACCAGCACTGTCGCACGATATCTGAATTCATTTAAAAACTGGAAGCGTGACCGTAACCGTAAACTGAATCCGGAATTGATGCCGTATTCCGATTGCGTCAACGAAACTCTGATTGACGTTCCGTGGAAGGAAGCATTAGAACCGCCACTGGATTTCGGCTGCTGGAGCTGAAGTTTGTGTTTCGTTTGTCTACTTCTTTCAAAAAGTAGACCGGATCGAGCACTCGCGTTGCTGCTGCTTCTTCAACACTGTTTTAGTTTTTTTTTTTTTAACCGTTATCACCGTTGTTTTTTTATTACAAAATTTCTGTTTCGTTTTGTGTGCCGTAAAATATTGTTAACCATTTTTTCCGCGCTGTTTGCTGTCAGCCGCAGAGATCCTGCGCACGGTTTCCTTATTCTTATCTACCTCGAAGTATTTTTTACTTATCTCTATATCTACACCGTGAGGAAGGGCGCGGGCGTGTGAGAGTGTCCTTGGATATCCTTGGTCCTTGTTACGCTTACACCACCGCACCGCACCGCCCACCCTTAACGTTTAGCGCTCACCACTGGACTGCCGTTAGCTCCCCTCTGCAGCCAGCCAACCAATGAAGATGAACGAAAACCCGAGACCCAGAAAAAGGCAGAGCAGAGCATCGCACCAGACGACGACACTGGGTGGGCAATCCTTGTGGCCAATCCAATGCTTATGCCATTGATAAGAGCAGGGCAGGGAACAATTTCGAAGTGAAGGCGTTTATTTTTAGTGAAAGTGCTTCTTGTTGGTTGTTGCCTCTGACGGTTGTCGTATGTAGATATGTACCTATATAATAAGTATAGTTAACCCTATAAGTGCTTTTAGAGATTGGTATTCAGATTTAGTTTCTACATGCCAAGCTAGAAACTTTGTTTTTTCTGAACGGCTTTAAATTTGTTCTACCAAGGTTCTCCTTCTGTGGTGTATTTAGGGTACGCCCATGACTTGCCGCTGCCTTTGCTTTAGCTGGAGCAAGCATGGAGCTGTAGAGAAAGACTTGGACTTCGGGAGCGGGTGGGAGGTTTTGTATTCCACCAATCGTCACCAAGATCAACAGGCGTCGTAATGTGGTTGCACCAATCACAGCAAACCGTTATGCCTACCACTTAAGCACTGCCTTGCAGTCTTTGGTCATCTCTCTCACACACTTGTATGTTCTATTGCCGTTGCTTCACACTAACACTTCGGTGTTTCGGTATTTCCCCATTTCGTATTTAATGACGATTGGCATTTGGGTGTATGAATGTTCAAAGACAAAATAATTATGTTAGCGACAAAAATATTAACAAAAAGTGAACTTTTCTCACTGTATAATATACATACGTACATATGTATCTAAATATGTAAAATTCAAAAAAATCACGGCAGAAGTAAATACAGGAACTTGCGCAGTGGTTAGAAGTGGGATATTATACGAGTAGATGCTCATCCCATCCTCCTTTTGTGACCTAAAAGTAACAACTACATATCATTAGAGGCTTGGATTTTTACCAGTAATTCCCAAGATACAAAAACAAAAATTTGATTATGATTGTATAGCATACTCTTGAATTAACATTTTCGGTGTATAAAAACACACTGGGGAGTATAAATCTTTGATATGAGGCATTTCGCTTAGATTCTGCGGCTATTTTTGCTAGAATATTTTTGCGGCTTTTTCTGTGTGCCAAATGGCTTTGCTCCTTCTCCCGCCAACGCCAATCGATTAAATAATATTTATGATAAACAAAGACTTGTTTCATGCACATATGAATATAACTCATTGATCGATTAACATAATCTAATCAGACTCAAGAAGCTGTAGTTCATTTGGTTTTTGACTTATCCAAATTGTGTAATAATACGAGTATATACATATATATGTATGTACGTTTAAAAATACACTGAAATTCTTGAAATTCACAGGAACAAGGCTTCCCTTCCCATTTTAATAAAATAAGGCATTGGTTGTATGATCTTTTTTTTAGTGACTCGGAAGGTCACGTCCCGACGCGTAGAGAAAATAAACAAATACAATATTTTTTTCGTTCAGAGGTATGTACCAATCCAGGAATCCAGCATCAAGAACCGGGATTGAATTAATTTGTGCTCAAGTCGAATAAATAATCGCATTTGGCTCTAATTTCACTTGGGTGTCATATTTTTCAAATCGGCAACAACAATTAATCCAATGTAATAAGAAAATTCTTGACTAATAAAACAAGACAAATACATATGTATATTAATATTCAAATAATTTCCAATGAAAATAGTTTCTTTAAATTTCTTTAAATTGGTTTTAATTTAGTGTACCATACTAACCAGTCAGTCAGACTCCCGGACAATGCGCAATATTTAATAGGATATCGTCGTTGAAAAATTATGCAAATTATGTTTGTGGATGGGGTTTTTATTACAGTTTGAAACAGTTGGTAGAAGAAGGAAGAAGAGCGAGGCACAATAATAATTAAAGCAATCCCCCAATGAATGGTACTCGAAAAGTCAAAGCATAAGTTAAAAGCGATTTGTCAAATTAAAATTAACGTGGGCTCAACGGAGGCGGAGGGTGGTTGCACAAAAGTATGTGGAAGCTTCAGTAACACAGTAAGCGCGGTTTAATATACAATTGGGAATTCATCGAGGCAAATTTGTAGCAGCAGTTCTTTTTCTAGAAAGGAACAGCTGGGCTACATGCAGACACCCATTGTGATGTCTAACACACGAGGGTGTATCACTAAGTACATGTGTCAGCTATGATACCACTTTTTTATATTTTTTGTTTGTCAAGGTATTCTATTTTTAGCTCAATTCATTTGGTCAAGCAATTTTATGACTTTTTTCCCTTTCAAATAATAACTTTTCTCTTATTGTAATTTTTCAGTGATTAATTTTTTATCCATTAAAAAACCGCCGAGCCATTTTTTAAAGCTTGGAATCGTAAAGTAGTCACAGGGGCCTTAATCTAAAGGATATGCCATAGTAGAAATAAGTTTGAGCAATCACGGCACCCATCACGCGGTATCTTATTCCCAAAACGTCAAATATACATATGTAGTTACTTATGTATCATATAAGTTTCTTGAAACTATACTAATATAAGATATGATGCCATAATAATATCCAGAAGACGGATTCAAATCCGAAAGACAAGCATAGAATGAATAGAAACAGGCAGAGAGTAAACGAAAAAGGGGAATCTCGACTCAGCTTCTCAGCTTGATCAGAATGCAATTCAAACTTGTACTTTATGAACTTTATTATAAATACATTATGAGTTCGCATATTTGATTATTCCTTCTGTGTTTTTCAAAGGGCTGGACAAAATCATAAGGCCCTATACAAGGGTATCAATAAATGTAAGTGCATATATATTTTGCATATAGGAAAAATTTTAAGTTAAGTTTTATATATATAAAATTATAAAATAGCAATCACTTATTTATATACAAAGTATATCTGACTACTCCCTTTTATTCTCAAGTTTTCATTTAGTGGCAACAAAAAAGGATGTAAGAAGACACAGGAAGCCGGAAACTGATTTTAGATTTTGTGGCTTTGGTGTTCACCTGATTTATATAGTACTGAATCGTAAGCTCGTATTTATGTGGTTATAGACTTGCACTTGCGCTGTACAGCCACCTTATTAGGTCTATTCCGTTACCGTGAATGTTGTAATGTAATCTATACTATCATATCTCTGATTGTCTCTTAATCTGAGTCTGATTCAGAGCTTTAGGTTGCTTGATCACCATGTGAATAGCATGCAGAGACAGAGCCACAGCCAGAGCCAGTGGACTTCTCCTCTCCAGTGACCATCAACACCAATACAAATAAAAAAAACAACAAAAGAAAAATACCATCAGAGCCAGGAAAACACCTTGCGGTCAGGATGCATTTTTTCAATTAGACACGAAGTTATTTGAGACATTTCATACAAAGCCACAGAAAATTGATCGGTCAGTCAGTCAGTCAGTAGGGTGAGGAATGAATGGAGTTGAAGCCAAAGTCAGTGTCGGTATCAGAGGTACATATATGTATATATGTATATGTAGATACGTGGGAGACAGCTACAGTCATAGTTTCTGCACAATGTCACACGAGAGTGGAGTGAAAAAATTGTCATTGAATAGGAATATTATGCATCAACTTACCATCACCAGATATACTGCCTTGCGAGCTGTGTGAATCTTCTGAAATTTCAATTGGGAATAAATAGCCTTTTCAATGTCTGTATTTGAGTGTATGTTTGTGGTACCTGCCCCGTTTTGGACTTCGTTCATTGCTGTTATCCATTCAACGCCTTGTGACTGTGAAATAAAATTGTTTGTGGAGGGCGGCGTTGGGGCATCCGCTATGCTTCCAAGTATACGATTTGAATATTCATCGAACTTATGCACTGCAATGTATGGACAAAACAAAATAATAAGTAAGAACTCCATATTGGGTGAAGTGTGCAAGATTTAAGTGTTCATACAGATAGATGAACAGATTATAGACGGACATCTGTTGATTATGCTACATTAGGCTACATCTACTCTAAGAGTGCCAGAGTTAATTAGTGTAAAAGTCATATTTACATATACTTCTAACATAAAAGGGCCAAAATCAACAAGAGAATAGCGATCTTAAAAATATTTAGAAGTTGAGGAAGAGACCGACACTAAATGATGTCGTGGGCCATTCGAATGGGTTAAGCGCTTTTCCTTTTTATCCGAGAAATCCGTGACTCAAACGAGGAAACTCTTTCATTTAATTTCTGTTGGTTATGGCATTCGTACACATCGAACAAGACGAAGAATCGAATTCGGCGACAACAGGTCGCATCTGACTAAATCTTAGGATAGGAAATAAAAAATCCCAAGTCGCAATACCCCACCGTCCCCACCCCATCCTTTCGGCCAGCAGTGGCAGCAACTTTGGCTATTGTTCTTCAGTCAAGCGATGTTCAGGCCCGTCCCCAGTTTAGTCTGCAGTTTAGATTTAACAAGTTCTCTTTCTGCTGATCAACCCTTCTCGACTGAAAATTGTAATATCATACAAATTTAATATACAATTTACATACTACATGAGCAATTACTTGAAATATAAGTACTGCGGATATTTATGTTTATGTAGAATATATATCAAATCAAATGAATTCCAAATGGATACATATATGTACAATGTAACTTACATTTTGACTTTTCGTCAATTTGTGCTGAGGTATAAACGATTCCGTTGTTATGATGGGGATGATCATTCTGATGATGATGGGTGCCGATGGTGATGCTCAGGTTGTCACCTGTCGGAGCGCTCTGTAGTGTGTGTATGGTCGGTGAGACAACCAGATGCTGTTGTTGCTGTGAGAGGTGATGGTGTTGCAGATGCTGTTGATTATCGTGCTCATGCTGACTCGTGTTCGTAGTCAGCGCTTGATCTTGGCCATGGTTACTGTGGACAGGCAAGGGCTGGTGGATGATGTGGTGCTGCAGCTGATGCTGCGAGAGCGTCGCAAGCCCATGGCTAAGATGTGGCGATGTCTGCATTTCCATTATGATCATCAGAATCTGAAAAAAGGCAAGCAAATAATTCAACCGGGATAGAAACTTTTCTGTAGCTGCCAGAAATCCGGTATTCTCGAAATCAGGGAGCTAAGCTACTTAGTATATGATACACCAGCATCAGCATCAGCGAGGGGCAGTTGCTACCTGACTACCTCTTCATAATTATAGATAAGAGCCATAGAACGTTGAACTTACTGCCACTGCAAGAACAAAGACGGAACCGAACCAACCTTAGTCTTATGCTCGAAGCGTTGGCGAAAGCTACTTGTTCTTATCCTCGTACTTTGGAAGCTACGTGGTTCATTGCCAATAATAAACCTGCTTTAAGTTACTTAGACTGATCAACTATTAAATACTTCGTATAAATTTAAAATTTAAGAGAATTACCGATAGTAAAGCCTTGCAGTACAAAATCTAAATAAATCCTGCACGAGTATGTTGTAATGTGCAGCAGCTGATCACAAATTAAAATAATCATTATTAAGATTGATCTGAGGAATAAACAATATCCACATATTCGTCGCACAATTTTGAGACCAACGATATCCTCTATTTCCTCAGTTCATTCTGGCGAACAGCGAAGGAATATGCAAGAAAAAGCATAAAAAGTCATCCACATAACGATTCGATAAGTTAAGCAGTAGCCTAAAGCTAACCAGAGCAGCTAGTCTGAGCCTGTGGTCTCCTGGTCTAAAATATAGGTCATGTAGATCACGTCAGAATTCATCGGCTTGTATTTGTATACAATGGCTTTGAATTCAATTCTTCCTGCGGATTATTTACTAAGGTTTAAAATAAACATAATTCTACAAATTTCCATTTTACTTAGCGTATTGAGATGTTTCAAACTGTCCGCCTAATAAAGGTGTAACGTCTAAACATTATGAAAATTTCTTTAATATTTTAGAAAACTTTCCGCAGTTGATTATGTGACATGGAATCTTACAAAGAAGCCACAAAGCATTTCCCGCTCATTTCCTTGTGATATGTTGTCGTGCCGGCAACATCCCTCGACGACCTACCACTGGAAGGACAAACCGCGCGCGCGTGTTTGCTAGCACTCATTCACCTGTTGTTAATTGACCTTTTTGAGACTATAACTCCCTTAAGGGTCATTGCAATTGAGCAGTAGAGAAGCCAAGTGCATGTGTGCGCGAGAGTATGCGTATTCATGATCATGAAACTCGAGTTGTATTTGCTTAGCTAGAGTGAACCATCTGTTTTCCTTTAAGAGTCTTACTTCCCTGATGTCAAGAATTTTCACGGTTACTGCCTGAACATATTAGTTAGTAGAAAACATGTGATGGCAACGGATTAATCTATTTTGATCAATTTGCAATATATATTGCATTAATATAGAATACAGTCAGAATTAAATAAATATTTCGGAGAAAGGAAATTATTTTTTCCTTCCAGAATGCTGCTTATCACTCATGGTGGTAGATACATATGTATGTATTGTTAATATTCGGCTATCATTTGGCTGTAACGGAGCGCGGGAAAATAAAACGGTGTATTTACTTTTTCGTACCGCACCCCTGTATTTTATAATTAACGATTAAATACAACAAAGAGAAACAAATGAAACTTTACTTTTTTTTAGACGAAAAAGCTCCTTGATATGAGGTCATGTACATAGAAATGCAAAACTGTGGCCCAGCAAAAATGAAGTCACGGTCGGTCAAAGCATAGGCGAGGGCAGGGGCGTATGCGAAGTTTCTGTTTCTTCGGCGTTCTTTTCAAGACCAACTTACTTCTATTTTTTTGTCGTAATACATTCAATTCAGAAAATAAAAGTGGGAAAATATAAACGCATTTTCACACACTCACTTCGAATAATGGCTGGCGATGACGACTCAAACGACTCAGCTCGGGAGTCTATGAAAACGGAAAAAAGCAGCTCAAGGTCAGGAGCGTGGGTAAATGTTGCCCAGAGTTTGCCATACAAACCAAACACGATCGTACATAGATTCAAATTTACAATACTTTTGTAGATCACGGTTAGGATTGGTTGGATTTTTGTACGCTTGCAGAGGGTAGTACTAATATTGATAATTTATTTAATTTTGCTAAAATTGAATTACCGCTTCCAATCCCGAGGCTTTTAAAAATTGCTATCGACAGCGTAAATGTACTCACCGAAACTATCTACACATATGTTTTCATTTCCAGACTCAGTCGAACTTTTTGTAATTGTATTAACTTTATATTCATTTGAATTTTACCACGAAATCCACACTTTTTATAAACATTGGAGCCTTTAGGCATTTAATAAATATAGATTATTGCGTTTCAATAAGTACACATCCGAAATACATATACATTCAAGCAAGTCGATTTTTATGCAATGCGGCAGCGCGTACCACTTGTTGGGCCATATGTCCACGATACAAACCGCGCTCCAGGTGGATGGATCATGGACCGTACGAAGCGACCGACTCGAGCGAAACTAAATTGTTGAATGACAATGGACGGCGGAAGCCTGGTTTAAACCACTCAAATTCACTGGGGATATTTTCTGTGTGTGTTTCTGTCGGCCTATGTATCTTTTGAGTCGCGCTCAAACTTGATCTGAGACGGCTTTACGGTTGGTCGATTTCATTTCCACTCAAACCACCTGAGAGGGGGGCGTATGCTCCCAAGCTCGATCTGCAATATGATCACCGTCGGGAGAGAGCGATGGAAAGAGTGAGACTCCCGTTTTTGCTTTGTATGCATACATATACAAAGTATAATGTACGGAATGTACTTTTTTCTACTAAAGCGCGCGTGGTTATATACCAAAGAAATATATACATATGTACATACATATAATTGAAATAATATATTTTCACGCAATTTAGAACGACATATAGGGAAGAGGCGGGGCGGTTCCCTTTCTTTCTGTATGTAGTTAAATGCACATATGTATGTACTGCGTATATGTGGCTTATGAATTGGGCGATGCTCAAACAACAGGTAAGCACAGTGATAGTCATATTTGCAAGTTTATATGTATATATGTAACTTTCCCGTCTCCTTACTTTACATGTATCAAGCGGAAGTAAAGCATGTTCACCTGATCAACCTACCCCCTTTTTGAGTGTGTCCAGTTTGAGTGTGTCGTGCCTCTGCGTTGAATGCCTGCACTCCACAGGTTGATGAGTGAGTACATAGTTAAAGATACATACCATACTCGTATTTATTTGTATACATTTTTATTTAAGTCATCTTCGGGTCCAGTACAGTCGCGTATCCTGTCAATAGACACCTGCATAAGTATTGCATACTAATGTTACTTGGAACATTTTAAGGAAATGTATACATATATGTATGTGGAATCTACTTAATTACTAACAATTATATATAATTTGTAATATAATAATAAATCTAAATCGACATACCAACACTTGTATTACATATGTGTGTACGTATGCATGACACCTATGTTAAAATTGAGGTCATTATGTACTCAGTATGTGCATATATGTATGTATGTATCTACCTGTAGCCAAACTAACGCAGGTGGTTCGTAACCAGCTAACAAAATGAAAACGGCGCGTGCCAAGCAAATCGTCGACTACCGTTGGAAACCACAGTGGGGCGGAAGAGTGCCGAGATTGAGCACTCAACCGTTTCTGATTCAAGCTCAGAGTTCTCTGGTACTTGACTGGAACTCGTTTTAGGGGCAACATGCTTATGAATGGATACATACATTTCCAATTAACACTATTGCCAAAAGATCCCTCAAGGATTTAGATAATCTTTCATACAGCTTCAATTCTAATGTCGAAAACGGTCAAAACTACATTTAAAAATTTGTCCATTAGCTAATCATAGTAGATACCGTGAAAGAAAGCAACAGAACCAGCTGTTCTGTTGGCGAGGCCAGTTTTTAGGACATTCTACAACCATCTACATACGAGTATGTATGTATTTTTCCACCTTCCCTTTAATTTTTCTAAGCGGTGAAAACTCCTTAACACAAACGGAGCCCGCGCTTTATTTACAGAACACCTGTTAGACAGCAGCAACCGTGGCGGTGGTGTGGTGGTGACGTTGATCAAAAACCTACCCTATGATCGCCTTTCCTTTCCTCATTCTGTTTATTCTTGGCGCATACATACATATATGTTTGTATGTATTTGTGACTTTCAGTTAGCTTGTGAGTGAATTCTAAACTTGGGGGGGGGGGGGGCACACATACATACGTGCGAGGTTCAATGATCTACAAAATACTACATACTACAATATACATATTTACATATGTATATGTGTATATTTTTTTACACTTAACACACATTATGTCCTCTTTCAAGACTAGCCGAATTTATCTAATGTAAAACCACGTAGGACGTTGAAAAATGCTGCGTTTATTACTAAAGTCTCCGACACATGACAAAATGATTGGATAATATTCTACCCTCCTATCTAATCGAAATCCTTTCAACACCCTTGCGCTTCAACGGTATTTTTCAAACAAATTAACAAGTAGTTGTGAAATGAGATAAACATTTGTTTTTGAAGATTATATAACTAAACTTTCACATAATCATCGTTTGCCATATTAACGAACATAACAGAAAAAAAATAAACAAACTTTGCAGCAGAAATATAACAAAAGGATATTTGAAAAAAAAAGATTTATTGATCAAAGCGTTGGACTGGTCATCGAACTGCAAGAGTCATTCCTAGAATGGTGAAACAGCTGGCCTATTCTTCATGCAGATCCTTAGCCAGTCAGCAAAGTAATGGTCAAAAGTAATCACATTCACATACACATATATATATGTGTATAAGCGAATAAATGCTTCTCTATAACTACATATATATGTATATCTGTACATAAATTCATGGCACAGACCTACATATGTATGTACAACATGTATGTAGAATTATCCATAGTGCTCGCTTACTCTTTATATGAACAATCAGTACTCATATGTTTTGGTATGAAATTCGGTATTTCAATCGTGGCTCGTGGCTTTTCACGGTCTGCAAGCCAACCGAGACAATTT